TTAGCAAAGTTAGCTCTTCTTGTTGCATTGATCTCTTTACCATTATGTAATGCCCTTCTTTGTCTCTTTTGATCTTTGTTGGTTTAAAGTCTGTTTTATCAGAGACTAGGATTGCAACCCCTGCTCTTTTTTTTCTTTACATTTGCTTGGTAAATATTCCTCCATGCCTTTATTTTAAGCCTGTGTGTGTTTATGAGATGGGTCTCCTGAATACCACACACCAATGGGTCTTGACTCTTTATCCAGCTTGCCAGTCTGTTTTTTTTAATTGAGGCATTAACCCATTTACATTTAGGGTTAATATTGTTATGTGTGAATTTGATACTGTCATTATGATGCTAGCTGGTTATTTTGTCCATTAGTAGATGCAGTTTCTTCAGAGTGTTGACTGTATTTACAATTTGGTATGTTTTTGCAGTGGCTGATACCGTTTTTTTCTTTCCATATTTAGTGCTACCTTCAGGAATTCTTGTAAGGCAGGCCTGGTGGTGACAAAATCTCTCAGCATTTGCTTGTCTGTAAAGAATTTTATTTCTCCTTTGCTTATTAAGAGTAGTTTGGTTGGATATGAAATTCTGGGTTAAAAATTCCTTTCTGTAAGAACGTTGAGGCCAGACACAGTGGCTCATGCCTGCAATCCCAGCTCTTTGGGAGGTCAAGGTGGGTGGATCACTTGAGATCAGGAGTTTGAGACCAACCTGGCCAACATGATGAAACCTCGTCTCTACTAAAAATACAAAAATTAGCTGGGCATGGTGGCATGTGCCTATAATCCCAGCTACCTCGGAGGCTGAGGCAGGAGAGTCACTGGAACCGCGGGAGCAGAGGATACAGTGAGCCAAGATTACGCCATTGCACTCCAGCCTGGGTGACAGAGCAAGATTCCATCTCAAAAAAAAAAAAATATGTTGAATATTGGCCCTCTCACTCTCTTTTGGCATGTAGGGTTTCTGCAGAGAGAGATCTGCTGTTAGTCCTATGGGTTTCCCTTTGTGAGTAACGCCACCTTTTTCTCTGGCTGCCCTTGACATTTTTTCCTTTATTTCAACCTTGGTGAATCTGACGATTATGTGTCTTGAGGTTGCTCTTCTTGAGGAGTATCTTTGTGGTGTTCTCTGTATTTCCTGAATTTGAATGTTGGCCTGTTTTGCTAGGTTGGGGAAGTTTTTCTGGATAATATCCTGAAGAATGTTTTCCAACTTGTTTCCATTCTCCCTATAACTTCCAGGTACACTATTCAAACATAGGTTTGGGTCTTTACATTTTGTTTATTATTTTATTTTATTATTAGAGACGGAGTCTCACTTTGTCGCCCTGGTTGGAGTACAGTGGCACAATCTCGACTCACTGCAACCTCTGCCTCCTGGATTCAAGCAATTTCTCCTGCCTCAGCCTCCCTAGTAGCTGGGAGTACAGGCACACACCACCATGCCTGGCTAATTTTTGTATTTTTAGTAGAGACAGGGTTTCACCATATTGGTCAGGCTAGTCTTGAACTCCTGACCTCAGATGATCTGCCTACCTTGGCCTCTTTTTTTTTACTGAGTTTTCGGTTTTGGGGTACATGTGAAGAACATGCAAGATTGTTGCATAGTTACACACATGGCAGCGTGATTTGCTGCCTTCCTCCCCTTCACCTATATCTGGCCTTTCTCCCCATGCTATCTCTCCCCAACGCCCTACTCCCCGCTGTCCCTCCCCTATTTCAACAGACCCTAGTGTGTGATGCTCCCCTCCCTGTGTCCATGTGTTCTCATTGTTCAACACCCGCCTATGAGTGAGAACATGTGGTATTTGATTTTCTGTTCTTGTGTCAGTTTGCTGAGAATGATGGTTTCCAGGTTCATCCTTGTCCCTACAAAGGACACAAACGCATCGTTTTTGATGGCTGCATAATATTCCATGGTGTATATGTGCCACTTTCCCTGTCCAGTCTATCATCGATGGGCATTTGCATTGGTTCCAGGTCTTTGCTATTGTAAACAGTGCTGCAATGAACATTCATGTGCATGTGTCCTTATAGTAGAACGATTTATAATCCTTTGGATATATACCCAGTAATGGGATTGCTGGGTCAAATGGAATTTCTATTTCTAGGTCCTTGAGGAATCGTCACACTATCTTCTACAATGGGTGAACTAATTTACACTCCCACCAACAGTGTAAAAATGTTCCTATTGCTCCACATCCTCTCCAGCATCTGTTGTCTCCAGATTTTTTAATGCTAGCCCTTCTAACTGGTGTGAGATGGTATCTCAATGTGGTTTTGATTTGCATTTCTCTGATGACCAGTGATGATGAGCATTTTTTCATGTTTGTTGGCCTCATGTATGTCTTCTTTTGTAAAGTGTCTGTTCATATCCTTCACCCACTTTTGAATGGGCTTGTTAGTTTTTTTCTTGTAAATCTGTTTTAGTTCTTTGTAAATTCTTGATATCAGCCCTTTGTCAGATGGGTAGACTGCAAAAATTTCTTCCCGTTCTGTTGGTTGCTGATTTACTCTAATGACTGTTTCATTTGCCATACAGAAGCTGTGGAGTTTGATTAGGTCCCATTTGTCTATTTTGGCTTTTGTTGCCAATGCTTTTGGTGTTTTGGTCATGAAGTCATTGCCTGCACCTATGTCCTGAATGGTTTTGCCTAGATTTTCTTCTAGGGTTTCTATGGTGTTAGGTCTTATGTTTAAGTGTTTAATCCATCTGGAGTTAATTTTAGTGTAAGGTGTCAGGAAGGGGTTCAGTTTCTGCTTTCTGCACATGGCTAGCCAGTTTTCCCAATACCATTTATTAAACAGGGAATATTTTCCCCATTGCTTGTTTTTGTCAGGTTTGTCAAAGATGGGATGGTTGTAGATGTGTTGTGTTGCCTCCGAGACCTCTGTTCTGTTTTATTGGTCTATATCTCTGTTTTGGTAACCAGTACCATGCTGTTTTGATTACTGTAGCCTTGTAGTATAATTTGGAGTCTGGTAGAGTGATGCCTCCCACTTTGTTCTTTTTGCTTAGAATTGACTTGGCTATGCGGGCTCTCTTTTGGTTCCAAATGAAGTTTAAGGTGGTTTTTTCCAGTTCTGTGAAGAAGGTCATTGGTAGCTTGATGGGAATAGCATTGAATCTGTAAATTACTTTGGACAGTATGGCCATTTTCACGATACTGATTCTTCCTAACCATGAACATGGAACATTTCTCCATCTGTTTGTGTCCTCTGTTATTTTGTTGAGCAGTGGCTTGTAGTTCTCCTGAAAGAGGTCCTTTATGTTTCTTGTTAGTTGTATTCCCAGGTATTTTATTCTCTTTGTAGCAATTGTGAATGGCAGTTTGTTCTTGATTTGACTGTCTTTAAGTCTGTTATTGGTGTAGAGGAATGCTTGTGATTTTTGCACATTGGCCTCTTAAAGTGCTGGGATTACGGGTATGAGCCACTGCACCTGGCCAATTTTATTCATTTCTTAACTTTACACTACCCAGTTTCCGCCCAGAGGGCATCACTGTTAGCAGTTTCTTTTATGTCCTTCTAGAAATTGATTTTCCTATTCAGGGAGAAAAATTTAATTTAACCTGGTTGGTAGTATATTTCTGTTCTTGTAATTATTTGATTTCCTTATTATTCATAATAAAACTCACATCTTTGAAATAACTTATAAGGACCTATGCAGAATGCCTCCCCCATCCTGACTCTTGCACCTTATCTTTCGCCCCTTCTGTAGACACTGACTGGTAACCCCTGTGTTGTATCCCCCCACCTATAACTGTATGGTTTGCCCCTTCATTCCAGGACTCTGCTTAGTTTTCACCTTAGCATGGAGGGCTTCTTTGACCATCCATCTAAAATACTAGTCCTTTGTCTGGGCACAGTGGCTCATGCCTGTAATCCCAGCACTTTGGGTGGCCGAGGTGGGTGGATCACCTGACATCAGGAGTTCAAGACCAGCCTGACCAACATGGTGAAATCTCATCTCTACTAAAAATACAAAATTAGCTAGGTGTGGTGGCACACCCTGTAATCCCAGCTACTTGGGAGGCTGACGGAGGAGAATTGCTCGAACCTGGGAGGCAGAGGTTGCAGTAAGCTGAGATGATGCTATTGCACTGCAGCTTAGGCAACAAGAGCGAAACTCTGTCTCAAATAAATAAGGTCAGTTGAATGTTGCCAGCGCCTAGCAGGGCTTGGTTTACCTCCTTGATCATAACTCTTTCTTCACCTCCCATCCATGGAAAACCATGATTCCCAAGTTTTTAAGTAATTATTTTCTTGTTTGTCTTGATAGTTTTACTACCTGTGTATAATCTAGTTACAGAATGTTTAAAATTTTATTTTCTTTCCCTTGCTGCATTATTTACTTTCCTCTGAGTTTGCTTTCATTGTTTTTGTCTATTTTTAATGTTGGAGACTTCTCAGATATCTCGGTGGTCCTTGGTTGTTTGTTGACATTTAAAAGTAAACCACTATAAAAAGCTGATTGGAATCTGAGTTGGGGGTGCTTTTTGAGTGGTACATTTCACTGTAGGATTATCAGGCAGAGATGTGCCCATTTGTCTGCATATGAGTCATTTTGTGTGGGAACACTCAGTCCCCATGAAGAAATCCTTAATGCTCCTCCCTGATACAGGTATTTTGCTGCCAGTGATTTGGGAATCAAATGGAGTGAAGGTGGCTAGTGGGAATCTTACTGTTGGGGACATGAATTTATGTTTAATCTAAGTTCTTTTTGGTACCCCCTAGTTCATAACCTCTCTAGTTCTGCTTCTTCAGAGAGTATACACTCATTTCTTCTTGAAGTACTCAGTTTTTTTTATTGATGTACATGCCACATACCAGATTAGAGACTAAGTTGCTGTGACTCAAAATAGTTATAATTTTGGTATGGGAGGTAAAAATAGAAATTGGGAGTGAAATGGAACATAGTCACTCTGTCCTTGGCAATGAGTTTCTAGTAATAACAAACTAACCTCAATCATATAAATGTAAATGCAATTATAATCCTTTTGTCTCCATTCAGATTTTAGGACAGCAAATTAATGACTTTACCCTTCCTGATGTGAACCTTATTGGGGAGCATTCTGATGCAGCAGAGCTCGGAAGGATGCTTCAGCTCATCTTAGGCTGTGCTGTGAACTGTGAACAGAAGCAAGGTAATTTGTTTCAAGTTAGTGTTTGCATTTAAAATAGTGAAGGAAAGTAATGTATACTGTATACTTTATATATAAATCACCAGTACCAATAATAACATCTGTTTAAGGCCACCCTCAAAGAATGGCATTTTCTATAGCTTTACTAGTAATTTGTTTTTCAGCTTAAATAAATTTCACACGTTAAAGTAAATTAGATTGTGGTGACTTTTTTTCTTTGTGCAATACTACATAATTCCTTGAGTAGATAACTACACTGAATGAAATGAAATTTGCTGTTAATTTGACCACATCTACTTAATCTGGAAAAAATGAGCAGAGACATACAGCAGTTTAATAGGTATTCTGGTCTGTCTTACCAACATATAACAGATGCTTTCAGCTTTTCTTTTTCTTTTTTCTTTTTTTAGGCATATTGTATTTGGGAACCATTTGCAAGTTTATCTCTACTATGGGAAAAAAGAGAAGGAAGAGTATTGTTATATGCAGTGTTTAAATAATAAAAATAGATTTTGAATTGGGGTTCCTACCCCAAAATCTGGCAGATACTCTTCCTCAAGAAATTACTCCCTGAGCTAAATTTTAGATGTTGCCTTGACTACCTTTTAAAGGAAAGAATAGTATGACATACAGCAAAATTGTTTCATATATTTTTAAATAATTGGCAAACTTTTAGAAATACCACAGGAGGCTGGGTGCAGTGGCTTATGCCTGTAATCCCAGGACTTTGGGAGACCATGGTGGATGGATCACTTGAGGCCAGGAGGTTGAGACTAACCTGGCCAATATGATGAAACCTCACCTCTACTAAAAATACAAAAAAAAAATTAGCTAGTGTGGAGGCACACTCCTATAATCCCAGCTTCTCAGGTGGCTGAGGCATGAGAATCATTTGAACCTGGGAGGCGGAGATTGCAATGAGCTGAGCTCACACCACTGAACTCCAGCCGGGGCAACTGAGCAAGACTCTCTCTCAAAAAAAAAAAAAAAACCCCACAGGATATTTTGTATTAACCTACTCTGGCAAGAAAACCTTGAAAAACCTGGGAAACTTTGGGATTAATTTTCATAACAATAAAGACTTTTAAAATAAATTAATGGTATCTATCACTGCTAGAAAATTTTCTCATTAACCATGTAAAACTGAGAACTGTCTTTTATGTTTTCCCATGTTCTTTGTATTGCAATCTAAAATATTTCAAGCTCCCAGAGCTGAAATGACCCAATATATTATTATTATTATATTGAAATATGAGATTAAGAGCATGAGCTGCAGTTTGCATCAGCCTGTGAATTTCAACTCGTTTCCACCTCTCACAGACAGTCTGAAGGACATTGAGCAGATCACTTAATGTCTGTATTTAGTTTTTTAGTAGAATAGAGATTTAGTATAATACCTCCTAAGGTTATCGTGGAAACTAAATGAGATCATGTCTATAGAACAGTACAGTGGCTTGCACATAGTAGGGGTTCACAAAATGTTAGTTATTACTAGAAACTATTATAAATTTTACATATAGTATTTTATTTTATTTTTTCGAGACAGAATCTTGCTCTCTTGCCCAGGTCGGAGTGCAGTGTCATGATCTCGGCTCACTGCAACCTCTCCCTCCCAGGTTCAAATGATTCTCCTGCCTCAGCCTTCCGAGTAGCTGGGATTACAGATGTGCACCACCATGCCCGGCTAATTTTTTTTATTTTTAGCAGAGACAGGGTTTCATCATTTTGGCCAGGCTAGTCTTGAACTCCTGACCTCAAGTGATCCATTCGTCTCAGCCTCCCAAAGTGCTAGGATTATAGACATGAGCCACCACCTTGGTCTATATGTAGTATTTTTAAACATTTTAGTTTAATTTTCTGTTGTGTGCCTTTGTGAACTTTCAGGTAGCCACAATTTGTTAAATGTCATAAGGTGGTGTTTAATGATTTATGTTTATTTTATGAATATATGGAATATAAATTAGTAAAACCACTAACGTAGAATTAGAGAAGGCTATTCTCAGTAAGTTAACTTTTAATTTACAGATTTTGTTAGTTAAATATACTTTTATATTTTTAGCAAATCCAAGCTGACAGATTTGCACTTTGTTGAAGTTACTCGAAGACCAGCTTTGATATCTAGATAATTAATACCTTTTTTTAGTTCTTCCAAAGTGCTTATCTAATATTAAATAGCACTTTTTTTGTTTTGTCTATTGACAACTACTCATTTGCATAGAAATTACTTGTTTCTAAAAACTGCAGTTCAAATTTATCATACAGTAAAGTAGATAAATTTTACCTTAAATTCGTTTTCTATTCTGTATTCAATTTATTTCACAAGTATTTGTTGAACTTACACATTACATTAGGAGCTAGGAATATAGTGTTAGACAGAACAGACAAGTACCTGCCCTCGAGGAACTTCAGTAGAAGGACATTAAATAATGCCACAGATACCTGTATGCTGGGTGCAGAGGTGAGTGCACCGTAGCTTCATCGTAAAGGGGGACAGCCTGGGTTTGAGGTTAGGGAAGTTATTTAAGCAAATATATGGAGGACAATGGGTTAAAAGTAATGTAAATAGTAGAAACCAAATGTAGGAAAGACCTAGGTTATCTCTGAGGAATTAAAAAACCCACCATACTCTAATTGGAGTATAGTGAGAAAAGGATGAAGGAAAATTAGGCAGGACATAGGGGCTATTATAAATGATGACAGCACAGTATATTACTATTACTTACCTTGAAGAAGATGTTTTTTTTTTAAGCCCAAAGATTTTATTCTTGTTTCCCCACCCTCCACCCCTTGTAGTGCAAAATAGATTTCTATTAACTTGTTGTTTGTACTTTTTTGGTGTTATGTGGTAAGTTTAATAATAGACAGCATTATTTTTTTTTTTTGAAGCTATGGCTAATTTTATTCGTCTTCGATTCAGTATTTTTTTAAACAATATTTCTTTCTCTCTAGCCCCATTCCTATTAGATTTTATCATACCATTTTCTTTCTTTTCTTTTCTTTTCCTTTTCTTTTCTTTTCAAGATGGATTCTTGCTCTTTCGCCCAGGCTGGAGTGCAGTGGCACGATCTCAGCTTACTGCAACCTCTGCCTCCTGGGTTCAAGTCATTCTCCTGCCTCAGCCTCCTGAGTAGCTGGGATTACAGGTGCCTGCCACCACACCCGGCTAATTTTTGTATTTTTAGTAGAGACGGGGTTTCCCCATGTTGGTCAGTCTGGTCTCGAACTCCTGACCTCATGATCTGCCTGCCTCGACCTCCCAAAGTGCTGGGATTACAAGCATGAGCCACTGTGCTTAGCCACCATTTTCTTATTGTAAATTTTAGTTTGCTTATTCAGTTTAGCTCAAGAATTAAATATGGAATTTTCTGCATTTGTGATCTGTGTATATTCCTGAAGTGTCTAACAAGTTTTCTGTTGAAGATTAGGAGGTTGGTATACATAAGATTTGAGAGACATTAAATCTCTAAGTAGATGCTTTGATTTCAAGGTAGATGAGAAATTATTTAATTGAAGTTCATTTATATCAGATAATAACTTCTTAGGTATCCTTTTAGAAAATTCATTGATTTCTGGGATTCTCCTTAATCTGAAGGGGTCTTTGGAAGTACATAGCTATTGAAAGTCAGTTAGTTAGGTTTACTACAGAATGACTAGGAAAAGACAAAGATGTTACTTATATCCGTATTCCTATGGCAAAGAAGATGGTCAGTTATGATATTTATTGAGGTTCTCACTCAGACCAAATGTTCTGTAGAAACACCTAGATTGAGTTTCCCCCCAATATTGTATAAATGATGGAAACTTATTGAACAGAATGTTAACATCTCATTTGTCTAGATTTAGGACACCTTCTCCTCTCAGGAACACAGTAGAGTGCTGAGATCAAGTACATGAGTGTCTGAGTGGTTAAACATTAGCTGTCACTGCATATTTGTGATATATAATATAAAACTCACAAAAGCAGTTCCGCCATTTACTTCCTGACTCACTTAGAATGAAATACTTTGCTTGTGTCCTTGTCTGCAGAATAAGGCTGTAAAAGCTGGTTGTCAGAATAAGGATGTAAAAGTTGGTTGTCATGTATGAAAATTTGTGTGTGTGTGTGCGCGCGCGCGCATGTGCATGTGCACACACACACACGCACTTCGTACTCCATAAAGCACTATAGAGATAAAAAGGAGTTTATGTTTAAATATGTTTCCTAATTAGAAGATGTGAAGAACATCTGCTAGGGACGTTGACTCAGTGCACATTTGTCTTGGCTGTCTTCTCAAATTGGGGCAAATAAAATGGTGTTAAGTTTGAAAAAACAAAGAGTAGTAGTAGAAGACACACTAATAATAATATTTATTATTTCCCTTCTGTCTGGTACCAAAAGATGCTTTTTACAGACTTGGAAGCTGAGACTCATAAGTGTTATGTGACTTGCCCAATAATTTCTAGTTGTGAGAGGCTAGACAAGGACAAAAACTCATGTTTCTTCCCCATTTAAACTTTATCCTCCCTATGATAAACTATGCTGTGAATTTTAGACAGTGAAGGGTTCAGGATAAGCTCCCTCACATAGCACACCTCATCCTCCAGCATTGCCTCATAGACACACACCCAGTGATAGTATATCATTTGTATTTTGTACTTTTAAAGATTTATAATTTTTTAATTTAAAAAACTGTACAGTAATGTAGCTCTCATCATCATTTTATCATTTAGCATTTTACGGTGTTCGCGGGGAAGGGCCTTGACGTGGCAACACCGCTTCTTAACTAACGCTTCCCCTCTCACACCTACTAACCCCTCACCCCTCGAGTCCACTCTTATTTCCTTCACTTTCAATAGGCTGTCATTAAACTCTCTTTCCCATTATTAGTGTGGCTGCTTCTTTTCCATGTTCATTGTCTTACTTTGAGAGCTATTTAGTCATCCTCTCTATGCTGGTTTCTCCATAGCCTTTGAATTCTATGTTCAATACTTTTGAACAGAACATCTAAAAGTTCCCTTTTTGTATTCCAACACTCATAGGGTGATTCTCATTAAAAAAATGAAACAAAAAATTGAGCTCAAACTAAAGAATTCTTTTTTGTCTAAATAGTGATTAAGTTATGATATATTCCTATCATTGGCCTAAGAACAGTCCCTGTGATTTAGTTGTCTTATGATTATTTGTACTTACCCAACAATTGATTGGGTACAAGTAGCCTTAGGACAATACTTCCTTAAAAACATGTTTTTGATAAACTAAAGCTTTGGCATTAATCAGAAGTCATAATTTAATAGTATTGTAAAAATACCTTATTAATTTAAATTCTCTATTGGACGGAGGGTTACAGTTGTCATTCCAAATACATGAATCTCTTATCAAAAGAGGACTTTGACAGTTTCATTGTAAGACCCCCTTCGTATATTACCTCAAGGAGTGAGATCTTTTTTATGCATGTTGTTTGGATGTGTGTGGGATTGGAGAGGTAGCCTAAAATTTCCTAATTGCCTTTTTATATTTTTCTTTTTTCTTTTTTTTTTTTTTTGAGTTGGAGTTTCACTCTTGTCGCCCAGGCTGGAGTGCAGTGGCGTGATCTTGGCTCACTGCAACCTCTGCCTCCTGGGTTCAAGCAGTTCTTCTGTCTCAGCCTCCCAGTCGCTGGGATTACAGTTGCCCACCACCACACCTGGCTAATTTTTGTATTTTTAATAGAGATGGGGTTATACCATATTGGCCAGGCTGGTTCTGAACTCCTGACCTGAAGTAACCCACCCGCCTCAGCCTCCCTTACATGTTTCTTATTGTGACATATTTAATATATTTGTTGGAATCCACCTGAACTATTGCCTTTTTATCCTTAATGCCACTTTTTTGTAATCCATTGTTGGATTCGGAAATGGAAACTACTTCCAAGGCTTTTTTAGAAGGCAGGAAATTATTTTCAACTTTGTGATTACTGATAACAAAGAGATCTTTCTATTTTTTGGCAGTGGAGGATGAGTTTGATGCAGTTGCTCCTTTAGCTTCCTGGAGGTGTGGATCATTTATTTTTGTTTTTGACTAGTCAGGTGCCTTTGTGAGAAGGCGGAAGTAGTAGAACAAGGAGTTCTGTCTGTAACTGAACAGTCAATTGTATTAACTCACTACCCTTAGACCAGTCAGTAATTATTTTAAAACCCAGAATTTTACAATATTTGTTTAACTATGGTTTCAATTTGTATCTTAAATTTATCTCAATTCTTTGTCCTAAGCAGCTCTCAGCTTTGTTTTTTTGTTTTGTTTTCTGTAGTAGTAAATATTAAGGCAGAAATAAAACACAGTGCAGCACTTTGATGTCACATAAGAATAAAGCACAGAGTTCAAAGGTTTTTTTTTTTTCTGTAGCAAAGAGTAATGTGAAAGATAGTTTTTAGATTTTAGAAAAAAGTAATATGGAGTTTTTCCCCTCCTGGCTTCAGGCTTTATCATTTCATCGTTTTACATTAGCACATACTCATGCCGATATTCCATTCCTCTGACTATAGCTGTAGCCTCAACTTTAGAAGGAATGGTTACAAGAGAAGAAAAGATCTTAAAGACAGATAAATAGTGCGATGTTTGGACTTCACCAATGGCAATATATTTAATTGTGTATGAGGGATTCCTAGGAGGAATCAAAACACAAGGAAACAACTTACAAGAATTTATGAAGTATGAGCTTTGACTCCCTTGACCATTTTTAACTTGAATGGTGACATTCCAGATTGTTCTTGTTTTCAGAGTACATCCAAGCCATTATGATGATGGAAGAATCTGTTCAACATGTTGTCATGACAGCCATTCAGGAGGTATGTTGGACCTTCATGCTTATAGTTTATGAAAAATTAAAGGAGTGAACATATTTATAAATAATATGAAGTAGAAAATCATGAGATTCTCATGCTCATTTTTAAAGTTTTTACTTTACATTTATGATAGAACTTCTCTTTTTTTTTCTAAAAAATTATACTCATTTAAATTTTTCAGTTTTATTTAAATCTTAAACATTTATTTTGCAGGTATAGATATAACTATTCCTAATTTTTAAAGTGCCCTTAATGAAATAGTAATAGCAGACTAATTGCGAAAGCTAATAATAAATAATATCTATCTTAAACCAGCAGTCTTCCTCACACTGAACTGGTGCTTTCCTGTTTGGCAGAAAATGGATCTTTACCTGCCACCATACCCAAAGCAATTTCTAGATGAATATTTATGTTTTAAATGTAAAACATAGGCCAGGTACGGTGGCTCACGCCTGTAATCCCAGCACTTTGGGAGGCCGAGGCAGGTGGATCACGAGGTCAGGAGATTGAGACCATCCTGGCTAACATGGTGAAACCCTATCTCTACTAAAAATACAAAAAACTAGCTGAGCATGGTAGCACATGCCTGTAGTCTCAGCTACTTGGGAGGCTGAGGCAAGAGAATTGTTTGAACCTGGGAGCTGGAGGGTGCAGTGAGCCAAGATAGCGCCACTGTACTCCAGCCTGGGTGACAGAGCGAAACTCCATTTAAAAAAAAAGTAAAACATAAAACTGTAAAAGTAAAAATGAAATAAAGCCTAATAGCTGGTCGAGTTTAGGATGTGAGAATGTTTTAATCATAAAAGCAGTGGAAGAAACCCTTAAGAGAAATAGAAAAGTGTATGCAGGACATGAATTATGCACCTAACATAGAAAAATACAAAAGACAAACATGAAAAATATTTAATTAAATACAAATTAAGATGAAGTTGTGCCTAAAACCTCTTCACGATGACTTCTGACACCAACGGCCCAAAGTTGGGCTAAACTTCACAGATTTAAAGGCATCACTCTCCACAGACTGCCCATAGTTCAGAGGCCGGCTCCAGGCTCAAGGGTCTCCAGGCTGCCCTATCATATGACCAACTGCCTACAAATTCAAGGATTCCCACTGTCCCCGCACATTCTGTAATTTACTAGAACAATTCACAGAAGTCAGGAGTGATAACAGCTTTATTATAGCAAATAGATACAAATCAAATTAAATGTGTTTCTGAATTTTTAAGTTTCTGTTAAACCAAAACATGCATAGGGTAAGGTCAGGGAAGGTCCCAAATGCAGTTTCTTTTGTCCCCACTCCATGGAAGTAGTATGCAGGGTATTGCCAACCAGAGAAGCTCACCTGAGCTTTTATATCCAGAATCTTTATTGGGGTTTCATTACATGGGTATGTTTGATTGAATCAGTTACCATGATGTCTAAATCAGTTTTCAGCCTTCTTTGTTTCCCAGAGGTCAGGTCGATAACAAAGCCCCAACCTTATAATTACATGATTGGTCTTTCTGGAGTGGCCAGCTCCCATCTGGAGTCATCTCTTTAGCTTAAACTATCTAGGGGCCCACTATGAATAGCAGACAACTCCTATCTCTAGGGAAATTCTTTATTACCCAGCAGAGCTTTTAAAGAGTTCATTGGCTTAGCGGTCAGCACTGATGGCAGGCGTGAAAACTGATACATCTTTTTAAAATGTTATCCCTTTTTATATTATATAAGATTAGATTTGGTCATGTTAAAATACCAAAACATCAGTTACTCAAGCAAGATAAGAGTTTAATTGGCTCTCCAGTGGTCCTGGGTTGGTGGTCCTGGAGCCTCTATAGTCATCAGGAACTCAGCTTTCTTTTATCTTGCTGCTGTGCCATTCTTAATACATGATTCCCAGCTAGTGGTTCAGTGCTGGCTTTCACATTTATATTTCCAGCCAGCAGGAAGGATTGAGAAAAGGGTTATCCACCTCCTGCAAGTAAATTTGCAGGAATTCTCACTCCTGTTTGCCAGGTATTATCCACCTAGCCACATGGGGGAGTTTGGAAAATGGGGTCCTTATTCTAGATAGTATAGACCCAACAAAAATTTCAGAATTCTGTTACTAAGCAAGAACAGGGAAAAGAATAAGAGAACCGCCAACCATTCTGCCTTATTGTTGATCTGTAATTCTACTTTTAGGAATTTATCCTTTAAAAAAATGTAAAATACAAAGATATATAATAATAGTCGTAAGAACCATTTATCTAGCATCTACTGTGTGCTACATCGGACTGTGACTAAGCAATTTCCATTTGTTAGCTCATTTAAAATTCAGTACACTTGCCATTAATGCCTCCAAATTTATACTTAAAATGGTTAAAACGACAAATTTTGTTACATATATTTATCACGGTAAAGAGGAAAATTCACTACAATCCTGTGAGGTATAATTATTGTCTTCATTTTATAAAAGGAAACTGAAACAGAGTTTGAGTAACTTGCTCAGGTTTACACAGGAAGTAGTGACAGAGGTAGCACTCATGTGTAAGCAGTCTGAATCCAGAGCCCATACCTGTAACCATTGTGCTGTATCTTCTCAATATAGTGTGCTTTGGTATTGTTTCCTAGTACTGAAGCAATAGAAATAACTACCCAGCAGTAGGGCAATGGATAAATAAATTATGGTGTAACAGTATACTGGCATATTGCATAGGCATTGAAGCATATCTTTGAAAAATATTTAATGATATAAGGGAAAGCTCATATTAGGTTTAAAAAGGTAGATACAAAGCACATGAACAAAATGATCCCATATCTGTTAAAAATTAAGGTGAGGGAAAACAAACTTACTTAATGTTAACTCTCCAAATAGCTGAATTTTCTTTACACTTTTCTATATTTTTATATTTTTCTATAATGACAGGTGTTATATCTATAACCAGGAATGTTTTTAAAATTAAATCTGTGACCACTTGACTTTCTGTGAATCTATCCCAAGGAATTATTTAAAAACTCAGACCAAGACTGGACACAACAATGTTTATCAAACTATTTCATGTTAACAGAAATGTGAAAACAGTGTCTATCCATTGGTAAGCTAGTGTTTAAATTGTGGTACGTCCATGTGATGGAATAACATATAGTTGATTAAAAAGTGTAAAAGGATAGCTTAGGACAGAAGGAAAGAAATTTAAATGTCAAATGATCAGAATAAGATATAAAGTTGTATATAAAATAGAATCCCAATTAGATTTTAAAAATTGGTTATATGTCTCTTATTTACATATTCATTTTATTCATTTAGCATATACTTATTGAGTACCCAGTATGTACCAGGCACTGTAGTCAGCACTAGGGATACAACCATGAAAAGGATAGACATGGTCTGTTGCCTCACAAAGTGTAAGTCTCATAGGAGATGCTGGAAGAGACAAAGCTGAAAGCACAGTGGGGGATTAGCCTTGGGTGAGAAGAAGAGGCCTTGTGTTGTAACAGAAATGAAGAAAGGAAGGAGTGGGCATGCCTGTCACTAAGTTTATAAGTTAGGATGTGGGAAATTTTTATCTGGAGGCAAGATAGTCTGATGATGAATGTAGGTGAGTTGGTGAGGTTTGAGAAACAAGAACAGTGTGGAATAATCTCTGATGAAAATGAGGCTGCTGGCTGGGGAAAACAGCAATTATTATTATTATTTTTTGAGACAGAGTCTTGTTCTGTTGCCCAGGCTGAAGTGCAGTTGGCCTGATCTCAGCTCACTGCAACCTCTGCCTCCTGGGTTCAAGCGATTCTCCTGCCTCGGCCTCCCAAGCAGCTGGGACTACAGGTGTGTGTCATGAGGCCCAGCTAATTTTTGTATTTTTAGTAGAGACAGGGTTTCACCATATTGGCCATGCTGGTCTCGAACTGCTGACTCGTGATCCATCAGCCTTGGCCTTCCAAAGTGCTGGGATTACAGGTGTGAGCCACTGCGCTTGGCCTATTAGCTATACTTTTTGAGCAGCATTGAAGGTCCCGTTGAGATTGGAAACTTATTATTAGTGACACCAGTTTTGTGGTTTGTCAAATTTTTTTACCCTCAGTAGACTTGACCCTTAAACAACACATATCTACTTTTCTGCAGGTTTGGATTGCACAGGTCTACTTTTATGCAGTTTTTCTCAGCCAAACACAGATGTAATATACATTATTTGCAGGATGTGAAACCCACATCCCACAGGGGCAGCTTTTCACATAAGCAGGTTCTTCAGGGCTGCCTGTGGGGCTTGAGTGTGTGTGCATGTTGATATATGCCTGAGTCCTAGAACCAGTTCCCCATCTATACCGTGGGATGACTTTAGCAGTCAGGGTATAGGTAGCATGTAAGTAGTTGCAGTTGGATTAATCTTGGATTGAGATTTTGCCAGTAAAAAATAAATAAGGTAAGAGGAGAGTTGAGGATATTGACAAAAGTCGTAGAAGGACATGAAATCTAGAGAAAATAATTGGATAAACAAATGATGAACCTAGGAATCTAAAGTAGAGAGGGGACAATTCCCAAGGGTAGACAATGTTAGCAGAAGAAACAGGAGTAAACTTTAGGTGAGCAAAATCAACAGTGTTCACTATCAAGTCTGAGCTAAGTGAGGGAAAAAGTAAAACAATGATGGGCTAAGACTGAAGGACAAGGAGAAAGTACTGAAGGATGGGGACCAGAAGACTTACTGATGTTGAGGAACAGATAAAATTAAATGAGAGGCCTAGGATGAGTGAGATGGTTGTGCTCAGAATAGGATACCTAGATTTTTATTGAGAGCTGTTGTTGGAATCACAAGATCTCAACAGTATATCCCTATGTCTCTTTTTCTTTTAAGAGATGTGGTCTTGTTACATTACCTAGGCTAGAGTGCAGTGGCTATTCACAGGTGTGATCACAATTCAGTGTAGCCACCAACTCCTGGTCTCAAGCATTCCTCCCACCCCAGCCTCCCAAGTAGCTGGAAATAGAGGCATGTACCACCACACCCAGCTATACATCCCCACATTACTGACTGCCCCTCTCCCTTTTGTTCTTAAAACAGAGTACAAGAAGGGAACAATAGAAGATGGGGGCCATTTGAGTCTCTCCCTAACAGTTGTAATAACCAGAATTCTGTTCCCTTCTCCCCAGAGATCCAGAAAATCTCTGGATCTTCTTTCTTTGCACCATAAGGGTTAGGGAGTTAGTGTGTGTGTGTGTTATCATTAAACAGTAGCCAATCATTTTGGCTAATTATTGATGTCTTCATTTATTCTTTAGAAATGGTGTTGCTATTTTTACTGAGAAGTCACTATTTTTTTTTTTGAGACAGTTTCACTCTTGTTACCTAGGCTGGAGTGAATGGCGTGGTCTCGGCTCACCACACCCTCCACCTCCTGGGTTCAGGCAATTCTCCTGCCTCAGCCTCTTGAGTAGCTGGGATTACAGGCACGCGCCACCACGCCCAGCTAATTTTTTGTATTTTTAGTAGAGACAGGGTTTCACCGTATTGACCAGGATGGTCTTGATCTCTTGACCTCGTGATCCACCTGCCTTGGCCTCCCCAAGTGCTGGGATTACAGGCTTGAGCCACCGCACCCGGCGAGAAGTCACTATTTTTAAGTATGTAGCCACATTTTAACTTTAAAGACTTGTCGTTTTTTTGATGAGAATAAGTGATACTAGATTCTTATGGCTAGGCTTGCAGTGAAAATGAACATCAGAATTTAGACTTAATTTATTATGTTATTTCCTTTTTTTTTTTCTCTCACCCTGTCTTACTGTGCTGATAACCCTCTAATTTTAAATGAAAGCATTAGTCTGGAGTGGGGACAAAAAAAGTTCCAGACTCAAAAGCGTTAACATAAAGTGTTTTATGTGTGTGTTTTCATTTCAATTTTTATAATTCTGTAGTGGCTGGGTGTTCATTTTCTTGTGTTAAGTATTTTATTTAGGATGTCTTTTTTGCTGCATAGTTATATTCATTTAAATCTTAATTTCAGCTGATGAGTAAAGAATCTCCTGTCTCTGCTGGAAATGATGCCTATGTTGACCTCGATCGCCAGGTATATAATTTTACCTTGTTTTTATTCATGAAAAGTTGAAAAGGATAAGCTTCAGATGTTAATGAGAAGAATGGATTAAAATTGCTTTTGGATTATATTGATGTAATTCTTTATATTTTACCTAAATTTTTAAGAATATATGCTGTTTTACTAATGAAATTTACATTTATAATTGTTTATAATTTATAATAAAATGCAGTTGCAATTAAAGTGCCATTGCATAACCTACTTTAAAATAGGTTAATCTTTTAAGTTTATTGTGACTCCTGTTTTCTAGTCATAAATTTTTATTTTTCTGTTAGTGATAACAATGTGCCACATTTAACACAATAGATGTTATAACTTCTTATGATTATGTGAATTATAAGAATAAATTCATATCATCTAGGAAAATGAAATATACAGTTGTCGTTTTCTAGGAAAAAGCCATGTCAAATTCCTGGAAAATGATATAAATTTATTTTTATGATTTATATGTAATACAAAAGATACTTACTTTTATTTCCTTTTGTCAGTTGAAGATATCTTCTCAATTCCACCCCTCATTTCTGTGAAGTAAAGAATAATTAAACTATATTTTTAAAGGAATCCTGCAGTGTATTTTTGTGATTTTAACAGAAAAGTTACTTTGTACTTCTAAATATCGCTTCTTAATGAAGTGTTAATTACACTGTCAGATTCTGTGTTCAAGCTATTTTGGACATCTTTCGCAATACAGGAATAGAAATCTTTGTATTGTTTGTCTTCTTTTACTTTTTCCCCATAGTTTCTAAATGTTTTTCAGGAAAACCTTTGGACATGTTGCAATTTTAACCCATGCTTTAGTTTTAAGCCCTGCACACATTAGGTATTTGTTCTAATGCTCTCCTTCCCCTTACCCCAGAATAAGGTTTTAATATGACTAAAACATTTGTATTAAAATGTCTAGCTACATATTTTAACAATTAAAACCCCTATTCCTTTAGCACTTACATATTTTACAATGGAAAAATTTCTCAGTTATTAAAGGATCAACTTTACAAGAATCAAATAGTCTAGATCAAAGAAGATGCATAAGAAAACTTGATAGACAGAATGAGCCAAAATCAAATGACAGAAACGACAGGACTTAGAGTAAAATAAATTAAGTTAAAAGTGCTGTCTTTGTACTCTTGCACAGGATTCTTGATTTCCCCCTGCATCCTTTTCTCTTCAGGAAAGAAAGCGGGGAAATGTTTTAATTCTGTGTTGAACATATGAATTATTAATTGCTGCCACTTCAGATTGAAATGTTTATCTCTTTGTTTCTAACCAGCTGAAGAAAACTACAGAGGAACTAAATGAAGCTTTGTCAGCAAAGGAAGAAATTGCTCAAAGATGCCACGAATTGGATATGCAGGTAAGAGATTTGTTCTGTGCACCACCTCTTTGAAATGTGCCACTGTAAGTACCACTAAACGTACTGTGTACTGCTATATAGTACATATTTTTAAAATTTTATTTATTTATTTAGAGACAGAGTCTCCTTCTTGTCTCCAAGGCTGGAGTGCAATGGCGCAATCTCAGTTCCCCGCAACCTCCCCCTCTCAGGTTCAAGCGTTTCTCTTGACTCAGCCTCCTGAGTAACTGGGTTACTGGTGCATGCCACCACACCTGGCTAATTTTTGTATTTTTAGTAGAGGCAGGGTTTCGCCATGTTCGCCATGCTCATCTTGAATGCCTGACCTCAGGTGATCCACCCGCTTTGGCCTCTCAAAGTGCTGGGATTATGGCGTGAGCCACCACACCTGGCCTTAATTTTATTTTTTTGAAACAGTCTTGCTGCATCACCCAGGCTGGAGTGGAATAGCATGATCTGGGCTCACTGCAACCTTTGCCTCCTGGTTCAAGCAATTTCTCCTGCGTCAGCCTCCCAAGTAGCTGGCACTACAGATGCCTGCCACCATGCCTGGTCTTGAACTCCTGACCTTCTGATCTTCCCACCATGGCCTCCCAAAGTGCTGGGATTACAGGTGTGAGCCATTATGTCCAGCAGTGCATCTTAACTATAATGCAACCCTTTTTTAGGGAAAAAAAGGTGGGGCGCAGTGACTCAAACCTGTAATCCCAGCACTTTGGGAGGCTGAGGTGAGCAGGTCACTTGAGGTCAGGAGTTCGAGACCAGCCTGGCCAACATAGTGAAACCTCATTTCTACTAAAAATACAAAAATTAGCTGGGTGTGGTGGCAGGCACTGACCAGCTACTTGGAAGTAATCCCAGCTACTTGTGAGGGTGAGGCAGGAGAATCACTTGAACCCGGGAGGTGGAGGTTGCATTGAGCGGAGATCATGCCACTGCACCGCAGCCTGAGTGTCAGAGACCCTGTCTCCAAAAAAAAAAGAAAAACAGGTTTCTGGTTAAAGATGGCAGACTGAGCAAAGATGGTAATGTCCTTTCTTTCCTTTCCAACTCTGTTAAATTTATAATAAATGACTTGAAATGGTCTAAACCCCCACAAAGAAAGAAGAGACAGAGAAGGGATGTCAGCATAGACGAGGCTTTTTGGTGTACTAGTAAACTGGCTCCCTGGAGGTGTGAGGGAGATTCTAGTGTTTGCAAATTTCAGTGGTATAAATACTCTCACAGTGGCTGATTTCAGGATATTAGTGGTTTCACAGCAAGCTCCAGCACAACACCAGTCTTCATCCACCTCCAAAAGCCAGAAGTAAGTTAGAAAAATGCTGGATGGCTGAAAGGAGCAAAGAATGTATTGGCCAGGGACACCTGTGGGTAATGGAAGGAGCTGCTGTAGTAGAGCCCCAGGTAGACCATAGGTATGGTGGTACACTGAAGTGAGGCCATGACCAAAAATGTTATATAGAATAGTTAAGCTCCTCATTTGTGTCACCCACTACATAGAGACTGACCTGTAGCCAGGGTCCAAATTAGTGGATTCTTTTCTTTTTCTTTCTTTGTTTCTTTTTATTTGAGACAGAGTTTCGTTCTTGTTGCCCAGTCTAAAGTGCAATGATGTAATCTCGGCTGACTGCAACCTCCATCCCTCCCTTAAAGTGATTCTCCTGCCTCAGCTTCCTGAGTAGCTGTGATTACAGGCATGTGCCACGACGCCAAACTACCTTGGTACTTTTATAGCCCAACTAACTTGGTACTTTTAGTAGAGACGGTACTTTTAGTTTAGTTGAACTCCTGACCTCAGGTGATCCACCCACTTCGGCTTCCCAAAGTGCAAGGATTGCAGGCGTGAGCCACTACACCCCGCCTTAGAGGTTCTTTTCTAAAGAGATTAAACAAAGGCAAGTATAGAGAGGTTAGAGTGAGTGACTGGGCACGGTGGCTCACATCCCTAAGCAAGTCCAGTACTTTGGGAGGCTGAGGTGGGCAGATCACCTGAGATCAGGAGTTCAAGACCAGCCAGACCAACATGATGAAACCCCATCTCTACTAAAAATACAAAAATTAGCATAGTAGCCGGCACCTGTAATCCCAGCTACTTGGGAGGCTGAGGCAGGAGAATCACTTGAACCCGGGAGATAGAGGTTGCAGTGAGCCAAGATCATGCCATTGCACTTCAGCCTAGGAGATAGAATGAGACTCCATCTCAAAAAAAAAAAAAGAGAGAGGTTAGAGTGAGTATAGTATTACAGCTTAAGATCCTTTTTGTTTTGACCTTTCTGGGTTCCCTAGATAAAAGCCAGCTTCTCGTGGATAGGCCGTAAAGTAATGCCCGTGAATGCAGAGCATCCTGTGACCTACGCTGTTCACTGATCTTTTTTTTTTTTTTTTGAGATGAGTCTTGCTCTGTCGTCAGGCTGGAGTGCAGTGGTGCAGTCTCGGCTCACTGCAACCTCCGCCTCCTGGGTTCAAGTGATTCTTGTGCCTCAGCCTTCCGAGTCGCTGGGACTATAGTTGCATGCCAATGCACCCAGCTAATTTTTGTACTTTTAGTAGAGATGGGGTTTCACCATGTTGGCCAGGATGGTCTCAATCTCTTGACCTCGTCATCTACCTGCCTCGGCCTCCCAAAGTGCTGGGATTACAGGCGTGATCCACCGCGCCTGGCCACTGATTCTTAAATCTAAAGAATACCTGCATTTCAAAAGAGAAAAGGATCAATATAAACAGAAAACTAGCCCTAGCTGAAATAGAGAAATTTTAGGGAATAGGAGAGATTTTTGTTTAATCTGTTTAATACCCTCAATGAATATATTGCACCTATAAAATATGAACAAGATGCTGTTTTAAAAAGGAGAAATCAGACTGGGTATGGTGGCTCACACCTGTAATCCTAGGACTTTAGGAGGCCAAGACGAGTGAATCACCTGAGGTCAGGAGTTCAGCCTGGCCAACATGATGAAACCCTGTCTCTACTAAAAATATGAAAATTAGCCAGGTATGGTGGTGTGCACCTATAATCCCAGCTACTCAGGAGGCTGAGGCTGGAGAATTGCTTGAATCCAGGAGGCAGAGGGTGTAGTGAGCCAAGATCATGCCACTGTACTCCAGCCTGGATGATGGAGCAAGACTATCTGGAAAAAAAAAGAAAGAAAAAAAGAACACCAAAGGAAAATCAAAGCTAAAGAAACACTTAAGTATATAAAAATAAAACTGTTCAGCTGGACATAGTAGTTCACTCTTGTAGTCCCACCTACTCAGGAGGCTGAAACAGGAGGATCACTTGAGCCTGGGAGTTCAAGGCTACAGTGAGCTGATTGTACCACTGCATTCCAGCCCGGGTGACAGATTGAGACCATGTCTCTAAAAAATGTTTTTTAGGTAGAATTGTCAAAACGAAAAATTCAAGAGAATAATTAAAGATGAAGTTAAGAAAATCTTTCACAAACAATAGACAAAAGTAAGATTATTTGTCTGGAATTTACTTTGGCTAAAGAGAGGGATACGGGAGTGGATTGACGTACATGAGAAACATAGTTGGCCACGTTTTGTTACTTGTTATTGCTGGCTTATGCATATGTAGAGTTCATAATACTTTGCAAGAGAAGAAGCATTTTACTTTGAAAGGCATTCGAGTTAGTCATTGCACTGGGTGCATATAGAAGAAAGTAATCACATCACACTTGTTGGGTTATCTAGGAAATGATATTTACATAGTCATAATGTAAGTGCTGTTAATTGCATTTTAGATTTTAGAATGTATATACAAATGCTGAGTTATAATAAATAATATTTTATTTTTATAAGTAGAATATAAATATCTTTAATAATATAAATGGGGATTGGCAAACTACAGCTTGTCATCTGTTTTTACAAATACAGTTTTTTTGTAGCTCCTTTATTTATGTATTGTCTGTGGCTGCTTTCATGGTACAATGACAGAGTGGAGTACTTGCCTGAAACATTTACAATATGGTCCTTTACACCAGAAAGTTTGACAGTGCCAGGTACGAACAGACTGCAAAATGAATGACAGTGTTGCAGAGAGGATATGAGAAGAAAAGGGGTAGCCCTACAGCATGTTTTGCTGTGCAGAAAACAGCAACACAGTCATAAGCATGTAATCTCTAATATAAACCTTATTAGTTTTCAACATTTAGAATTGTCCTATAGAGAAACATTACTGTAAAAGTTAAGATGCCAGTGATAGAGTTAGAGAAGTAAAACAGGAGTGATAAAGGAAAGGAAGAGCCAGAAGTGATGGCTTTCATCCTACCAAGTAGGGTATCTAGAACCACTTCTCCAGGGAGACAGTCATTACATGACTGGCTGCTCCTTGTCATGCAACCTCAGCTTAAAAATCACATGATTGATTTGTCATAAAATGTTAGGCACTTGGATGCATCAGGCACTAAAGTAGCTCTAAAGGAGGTCTCTTCAGGAAGGCCTTCCATGGTTGAGCAATCCAAAATAATCACCCAGTCATTTCTGTTGTTCTTATTTTAACCCTCTGTGTAGTAGGCTGTTTTTTGTATTGCTATAAAGAAATACCTAAGGCTGGGTAATACATAAAGAAAAGACGTTTAGAGAACGATCCAAGATGGCTGATCGTTAACATCTCGGGATTGCAGCTCTCAGTGAAAGCTCAGAGAACGAGAGGATGCCACATTTTCAGACAAATTTTGGTCACTCACGGAGCAGAAGATTCCCAGTGGAGGAGCTCCATGGGTCGCCAGCGTGACTCTTGTGGCCGGCACAGCGGTTGTGCCGGCACCTTGGTGCAGCAGCTCTTGGTGCAGAGTAAACGGGACTGGTTCCCCTTCTCACTGAGGTTTAGAACTCCGGGAAGGCAGAGTCGCCTATTACAGACTCAGGAAGGAAGCCAGACTGGAGATACCTGGGCAGAAAAGCACCATCAGTCTTAACGCCGCTGTTTTGGCTGGCCCAGTGGGTTGCTCATATTTCGGCCCTGGGAATTAACAACTTGGATGTCCACAGAGACCTAATTTGAAAGTTGGTAATTACCAAGACTACAGGTGGATAAATTTACAATGATGGGAAGAAACCAGTGTAAAAAGGCTGAGAATACTCAAAATCAGAACTCTCCCTCTAAAGAGGATCACAGTTCCTTATCAACAAGGGAACAAGACTTGATGGAGAACTAGTGCATCCCATTAACAGAATCAGGCTTCAGAAGATGGATAATAAACTTCTGTGAGTTAAAAGAACATGTTGTAGCCCAATGTAAAGAAACTAAGAACTTTGAAAAAAGGTTTGACGAAATCCTAATGAGAATAGACAACTTAGAGAGGAATATAAGTGAATTAATGGAACTGAAGAATACAATGCAGGAACTCCGAGAAGTATGCACAGGTTTAAACACTCGAATTGTTCAAGCAGAAGAAAGGATATCAGAGGTCGAAGTCCATCTTAATGAAATAAAACAAGAAGACAAGATTAGAGAAAAAAGGATAAAAAGGAATGAGCAAAGTCTCCAAGAAACGTGGGACTATGTGAAAAGACCAAATTTACGTTTGATAGGTGTACCTGAATGCGACGGAGAGAATGAATCCAAGCTGGAAAATATTCTTCAGGATATTATTCGGGAAAATTTTCCTAAACTAGCAAAGCAGGACAATATTCAACCCCAGGTAATACAGAGAACACCACAAAGATATTCCTCAAAAAGAGCAACTCCAAGGCACATAATCGTTAGATTCACCAGGGTTGAAACGAAGGAGAAAATCCTAAGGGCAGCCAGAGAGAAAGGTCAGGTTAATTACAAAGGGAAGCCTATCAAACTTACAGCAGATCTCTCAGCAGAAACTCTACAAGCCAGAAGAGAGTGGGGGCCAATATTCAACATCCTTAAAGAACAGAACTTGCAGCCCAGAATTTCATATCCAGCCAAACTAAGCTTCACAACTGAAGGAAAAATAAAATCTTTTATGAGCAAGCAAGTACTCAGAGATTTTATTACCACCAGGCCTGCTTTACAAGAGCTTCTGAAAGAAGCATTACACATAGAAAGAAACAACCAGTATTAGCCTTTCTAAAAATATACCAAAAAGTAAACAGCATCAACATAAAGAAGAATTTACATCAATGAATGGATAAAACAGCCAGTTAACATCAAATGGCAGTAATCCTAAATTTAAATCGACTAAATCCCCCAATCAAAAGATACAGCCAAAACCCAACGGTATGCTACATCCAGACCTATTTCACATGCAAGGATACACAAAGACTCAAAACAAAGGGATGGAGAAAGATTTTCCAACCAAATGGAGAGCAAAAATAAATAAATAAATAAGAAGCAGGAGTTGCAATTCTCGCATCTGATAAAATAGATTTTAAAGCAACAAAGATATAGCAGTAAAAGGATCAATGCAACAACAAGAGCTAACGATCCTAACACCCAGATACATAGAGACTTAGACTCAACGAGACAGAAAATTAATAAGGATATCAAGGACTCGAACTCAGATTCGGAACAAGTAAGCTTAATAAATATTTATAGAGCTCTCCACTTTAAATACACAAAATATACATTCTTGTCAATACCACATCACACCTACTCATAGGTTTAAATGAAACATTGACTGGCCATTATTAATACCCATATTTTTTAGAATAAAGCAACATTTCCATTCTCTCTCCCTCTTTTTCTTCCTCTTTCTTCCTCTCCTTCACTCCTTTTTTTCTTTCCTTCTCTCAAAAAAAGAAGAAAAAGAAATCAACTTGTAGACCTCTAGATCCAGGTCGCCAATGTCTCTCTCATTGCTTGATTTCCTTCCTTCCCTTCTCTCCCTCCCTCCCTCCCTCCCTTCCTTCCCCCTTCCCTTCCTGCCTTCCTCCCTTCCTCTCTTCCTAAAAAATAAAAATAAAAAAGAAAAGAAAAGATGTTTAATTGGCTCACAGTTCTGCAGGCTTTCCAGCATGGCTCCAGCATCTGCTTCTGGTGAGGGCCCCAGGAAGCTTCCAATCATGGCAGAAGGCAAAGGGGAAGCAGCTGTGTCACATGGCAAGAGCAGGAGCAAGGGGTGGAAAGGTGCCACACACTTTTAAACAACCAGGTCTTGCAAGAACTAACTCACTTTAGGAGAACAGCACCAAGCCATTCATGAGTGATCCAATACCGTGATCCAGACACCTCCCACCAGGCCCCACCCCTAACATTTGGGACAACATTTCAACATGAGATTTGGAAGGGATAAATATCCAAACCATATTACTCTGCATAGCACTTTCTATTTTAGTTTTTACATGTATTTATTAATTCACTTTCTTGTGCAGTGATTTATTTTTATTTATAGATTACATTTTTTTTCAAATATATAACATATGAGTAAGAACTTTCCTTTTTTCATCACTGTATCTGTGCACTTAGAAAAGTGCAACCATACCTAGAACATAGTAGGTGAGTGAGTCAATGAGTGGGTTGGTGACTGAGTGAAATGAATCAGTAAGTAGTTTAAAGTTCCAGAGGTGTTCAGTGAAGGAAGGCAGAATAGTGATTAACTATATTTGTGGTAGGAAGGAATGGCACAAGTTGCTAAAATCAAACATGTCAGAGGAGAGAGTCACTAGATAATGTCTAAGGAGAGAGTCACTAGATAATGTCTAATGGTAAGTCAAGAAATAATTGTATGTAACATTATTTAGATATGTAAAGTAACAACCAAAAACAATAAAATTAGGAGCAGTAAAAACTAGTCTCTGGAGAGTGGGAAAACTCCATAGGAAACTATAGCTTTTCACTATAAGCCCCTTTGCTTTGTTATTTTTTAAATTAATCGTGTTTATGTTTGTTTTGTTTTTTGAGGCAGGGTCTCACTCTGTCACCCAGGCAGGAGTGCAGCGGTGCAATCTTGGCTCACTACAACCTCTGTCTCCTGAGCTAAAGCAATCCTCCCACCTCAGCCTTTGAGTGGCAGGGACTACAAGTGCACACCACCACACCCAGCTAATTTTTTCATTTTTCGTAGAGTTGGGGTTGCACCATGTTGCCCAGGCTGGTCTTGAACTCCTGAGCTCCAGTGATCTGCCTGCCTCTGCCTCCCAAAGTGCTGGGATTACAGGTGTGAGCCACCATGCCTGGATCATCATTTTGTATTTTGAGACAGAGTCATGCTCTGTCATTAAGGCTGAAGTGCAGTGGCATGATCACAGCTTGCTGCAGTTAACTTCCTGGGCTCAAGTGATCCTATAGCCTTAGCCTTCCAGATAGCTGGAGCCACAGGCATGTGCCACCAGACTTGGGTAATTTTTTTTTTTTTGGTAGAGATGGGGTCTTGTTATGCTACCCATGCTGGGCTCAAACTCCTGACCCCAAGCAGTTCTACCACCTTGGCCTCCCAAAGTGCTGGGATTATAGGCGTGAGCCACTGTACCTGGCCTGTTTTGTTTTTTGAAACAGGGTCTTGCTCTGTCATCTGGGATGGAGCACAGTGGTATGATCATGGCCAACTGCAGCCTTGACCTCCTGGACTCGAGCAATCCTCCTGCCTCAACCTCCTGAGTAGCGGGGACCACAGGCATTCACCACCACACCTAGCTAATTTTTTATTTTTTGTGGAGACAGTGTCTCACTCTGTTGCCCAGGCTGTTCTCCAACTCCTAGCTCAAGTAATCCTCCTCCCTCAGCCTCCCAAAGTGCTAGGATTATAGGCATGAGCCACCATGCCAGCCAGTTTGTTTTTGAAATTTGATTATTTTTTTCTGTGTGTAAAAAGGAGTTCTGCCATATATATTGACTTTTTTTTGTCTGACTCCTTACATTATTTTGAGATCATCTATGTTGTCACTATAAATCACTAAATTTTTTATTGCTGAGTAGTATTCTTTAATACAGGTTGAATATTGGGGATTTTTTGGATTTGGGGATATTTGCATTATATACTTACTGGCTGAACGTCCTAAATCCAAAAATCCAAAAGCTAAAACAGCTCCGATGAGCATTTCTATTGAGTGTCATGTGGGTGCCCAGAAACGTTCAGATTTTGAAGCATTTCGGAGTTTGGATTTTTGGATTTGGGATCTTCAACCTATATGGATATACTGCAAATCATTTATCCATTTGTTTGTTAAACGTTTGGGTGGTTTCCAGTTTTTCTCTATTACAAATGAAGCTGCTGTAAACATTTTTCCTAAGTCTTTGTGTGGGCATATACTTTTATTTCTCTTGAGTAAATACCTAGGAGTAGGATGGCTAAATCAGTCATGTGGTAGTTGCATTTTTAATTCTTTAAGAAACTGCTATTTTCCAAAGTGTTTGAAACATTTTGTGTTCTCACCAGAAGTTTCTTTGCCAACACTTGGTACAGTCTTTTTAATTTTATTTATTCTAGTGGGAGTATAGTTATATAATATTGTGATTTTAATTTGCATTTTCTTGATAATTAATGATTATTTATTTGTGTGCCTATTAACCATCTTTGTATTTTTCTGGTGAGTCTTTCGTTCAAATATGAAATGAATGAATTGTTACTCTTATATCTTGCTCTGCATGTGCAGTAGTAAGAAATGACATAAATGTTTCAAGTGGAGATTTATTGTACTTCTTTAAAAATAGGCTTTAATTTATAATGGTAATAATAATCCACAAGTGATTGAGCTTGATGCCAGTGTAATTGGAGGAAATAACTGCTATCGTCCTGTATTCCAACAGGTTGCAGCATTGCAGGAAGAGAAAAGTAGTTTGTTGGCAGAGAATCAGGTATTAATGGAAAGACTCAATCAATCTGATTCTATAGAAGATCCTAACAGTCCAGCAGGAAGAAGGCATTTGCAGCTCCAGACTCAATTAGAACAGCTCCAAGAAGAAACATTCAGGTAAAAGACAACTCATTAAAATGATTTAAAGACATTTGTTAGCTGTCATTTAAAGTTAAGTATATATTGGCTGGGCACGGTGGCTCACACCTGTAATCCCAGCCCTTTGGGAGGCTGAGGCAGGCAAATCACCTGAGGTTAGGGATTCGAAACCAGCCTGGCTAACATGATGAAACTCCATCTCTACAAAAAATATGAAAATTAGCCAGGCGTGAAGGCAGGTGCCTATAATCCCAGCTATTTGGGAGGCTGAGACACCAGAATTGTTTGAACCAGGAGTGTGGAGATTGCAGTGAGTCAGTATTGTGCCATTGCACCCCAGCCTGGGCAATAGAGCAAGACTGTCTCAAAAAAAAAAAAAAAAGAATAGAGTGTTAGGACTTCTGGGAAACTGCAGACCAGTGAGGTTGTATAATAAACATCTTTGCAGAATCTCCTCATACAACACAAAACTACTTCACATCTAGGAAATGTTCTATCAGAGCGCCATCCTTGTTATCACTTGAAGACAGAATGCCCTAACTGCAGAATAACTGTGTGGGAGAAAGAAATCAGACACCAGCCCTGCACCCGACAGGGAAACAAAGGCGACTGAGTAAACATTCAAGAAAGACAGAGGAAGAACATTCATGAAGGGGCATGAAGGCGAGTTGGCATGATCACCAGAAAGATTAAATATCACTGAAAATCTGAAATGACCTTTTTTTTGGGAAAAGTAATGGTCAGAGCAGACCATAAAGAAACCACAGATTAAGGATTTTAAAGTAAGCACATCTTTGGGAGTGGCCAGACGTCGTGAAAAGTTGCAGGCAGGTAATTTTAAAAGACAGATGCATTTATAAATTAATAGAACTCTGTATAAGTCTCCGTGTGTCTGTGTGTATATGTGTGTGTGTGTGTGTGTGTGTGTGTTTACAGAGATAGACTTGTTCAAAGGGGTGAGCTGATTTAAAAGGATAGGCGAGATTTAAAGGAACAATATTCCAGATATCTTCTGTGGGGGAAAAAAAGGCCAAAAGGAAGGAAGAAGGGCCCTTTGGCCTTCAGGTGGTGAAAGGAAAAAGAAGAAAAGGGAAAATGTGTCCTGCAAGATAAGACAGAAGCACAAAATTGAAAAACTTAAGAATACGATGAAAATACTTTGTTACAGTTTACTAAAATAGTATATCATGACTTGTTTCTTACCTAGCCATAGATTTCTAGTGTTAAAACAGTAAGAGAGGCTGGGCGCGGTGGCTCACGCCTGTAATCCCAGCACTTTGGGAGGCCGAGGCAGGTGGATCACGAGGTCAAGAGATCGAGACCATCCTGGTCAACGTGGTGAAATCCCATCTCTACTAAAAATACAAAAAATTAGCTGGGCATGGTAGTGCGTGCCTGTAATCCCAGCTACTCAGGATGCTGAGGCAGGAGAATTGCCTGAACCCAGGAGGCGGAGGTTGCGGTGAGCCGAGATCACGCCATTGCACTCCAGCCTGGGTAACAAGAGCAAAACTGTGTCTCAAAAAAAAAAAAAGTAAGAGAAATTAAACATCATTTAGTTTTTTACTTTACTGAATAACTGAGTATGGTAACATACCTACTGTCCTTGTTATTCCTCAGTAAAATATTTCTGGATTTTTTTTTTCTTTCGCCTTAACAGGTAAAAGTATGAAACTTTTCTTAGGCTCCTTAGCAACAGTCCATTCCCTGTAGTTCACATCGGCAGTTCAAAGAATGGTTGAGGCCCCTGGAGGTCCTCTGAAACCATTTTGGAGAATCTGCAAGACCCTGTCTTTTCCATCTATGTGTCTGCAAGGCTGGATTTTCTTCATATACTTCATCCAAAAACAACATGTCAACAACAGCTGAATGTAGAAACAAATACAAGAACCCAGCTGTCTTCTATTAAAACAGATAATAGAATCACGAAAATGTAAAACAGTACCACTCTTCACACTTTTTTGTTTTAGAAAACAGTTATCTTTCTTAAAGAGTATTTGTTTATATTAACAAAATGGGTTTATTACTGTAAGCCACAGTGCTGGGCCATATGTGTTAATTTTGTAATTTATAAAAAAAACCTTAGATAAATTATATCTGCAGTATTTTGAAAAAAATGTTACATGCTGTCTTACTTTCTGGTAGGGAAATAAGTATCCATTTGTCACCGTTCCCAAGCCTTGGGATAGTGGAGTCCATTTTTATGACAGTTAAGGTTTGAGAAGGCAACTTATGGCCACAAACGTGGGAGACATATTCAAGAAGGCTTTATTCTCATACTTTATATTTTTCTTTTATTGTTCTAAGGAGAATGAGGAGGCAGTAAATAGTGCTTTCTTGGTCTATTTTGTATCGGTTACAGACTAGAAGCAGCCAAAGATGATTATCGAATACGTTGTGAAGAGTTAGAAAAGGAGATCTCTGAACTTCGGCAACAGAATGATGAACTGACCACTTTGGCAGATGAAGCTCAGTCTCTGAAAGATGAGATCGACGTGCTGAGGTAAACAGCCTCACCTTCGCCTTTACCTTCACTGCCCAGCACATTTCGGCTCTGGTGTTAAAAACTCTAGGGTTTCTGAGCATCTAGCAAGATTAAGAGCCAAGCTACCCAGACTGAGATCCTGGGTCTATTGTTTATGCAACCTCTGTATGATCATTTTCTCATCTGCAAAATGAAAACAATACACTTGCCTACCTCAGGTTTATATAAGGAGTTGAGCAAATTTATATTTGTGAACACTTGCAACAGTGTCTGGCAATTAAGTGATACATACGTGTTTGTAAAACAGAAATTCTGACCATCTCTTCTTACTTGTACAGCTCTGGAGCTGTTCTTCCACCACGCCCACAGGGCCTCATTTTCTTGCTGGGCCTTGTTGTCATCCCTTCAGTTCTCTCATGAGGTGCCTCACTTCCTGCCACCTCATTTTTTCACCCCTCTATTTGTGAAATCTCGTATCCTCTGTTGATTATCTCAACCATCTACACTTTTCCACTTTTGCTCTTTAAATACCGAGAAAAACAAGGGAAATGCATAATAGATGTTTTTGTGCTACTGCCAATTGGTGGCTTCCTTGTGAGCTGGGTTCTTCCCGATGGCCTGCCCTCCTCCTGCTTATTGTCTCACTCACAGCTATTAAGATTCTTTAGGATTCTACTCCCCTGGCTGCTTTCCCTGTATACCTCCTATGCCTTAGTCTCAATAGATGTCCTTGTCTCTTTTAGCAGGGAAGAAAGAGGCCATGAACTGCTGAACTCTCCATGTCTTTTTTCTCCGGCATCACTAAACTTCCCTGCATTCCCGCCCATCCTTTCTTTTTTGCTTAGAGAGTGCAGAACTGTTATTCCTCCCACTGTTCAGGGCTAATTCTTTCTTCAGTGCTCTGGATCTCCAACCTTCTTGCCTACTCAGGGATTATGTTACATCAATCCTCATTTCTTTTGCCTTTTGGATCTCTCTCCTTTGTACATGTGTACACGCACATTTAGGTCTCTTTACTCTTAAAAAGAGAGGGAGGTATTTCTCTCTCCTTCCCTCCAGAACCAAACTTAGATTACATAAGGTAAAATTTATATTCTCCCCTCAACCCCACTCTCTGCCTGCACTGCCCCACTGAACCTGCCATTCTGGTGGTCACTGATAATTGCCAAATTATTTGGACACTGTAAAACTTACTTTTCTTTTGTGCTACATGTGACTCTGCTGGCTTCCCTCTCCTGCTTGGTTTTCTTAAATTATTATTCTCCATTACACATTTAGTTTTAATTTAGGTCATATTTTTTAACCTATGCAGAGCATTAACCTGGAATCACTTTTGTCTTATAATTTCATTAGATGTGTGTTTTCTGCTCTCCCCTTCCTGGCTATCCCTCTTGTTTTAACACTGAAACAACTCTACAAGTGTGGATGTATTTCTGATTTTTAAATTTCCCATCTAATTCTAGACATTCTTCTGATAAAGTATCTAAACTAGAAGGTCAAGTAGAATCTTATAAAAAGAAGCTAGAAGATCTTGGTGATTTAAGGCGGCAGGTTAAACTCTTAGAAGAAAAGAATACCATGTATATGCAGAACACTGTCAGTCTAGAGGAAGAGTTAAGAAAGGCCAACGCAGCACGAAGTCAACTTGAAACCTACAAGAGACAGGTAAAAGAAACACAGCGTCTTGATGATGGTTTCAGGCAAGCTCTTCACTGTAACATGTAGCTTACAAAAATTACTGACTTATTTTCATGGCATTCTGTTTTTTACCTTTTCTTTATTGTATTTATTTATTTAGAAGACAGAGTCTAACTGTCACCCAGCTTGGAGTGCAGTGGCATGATCTCAGCTCACTGTAACCCTCACCTCCTGGATTCAAGCAATTCTCTTGCCTCAGCCTCCCTAGTAGCTGGGTCTACAGGTGCATGCTGCCACACCTGGCTAATTTTTTGTATTTTTGTATTGATGGTGTTTCACAGTTGTTGCCCAGGCTGGTCTCGAACTCCTGAGCTCAATTGATCGACCCACTTTGGCCTTCCAAAGTTCTAGGATTACAGACGTGAGCCACTGTCAGCCACCATGCCCGGCCTATTGTATTTATTTATATTTATCCTATATTTAAAGGGTTTTAAACTCTCTATAGCAGGTGCTTTTTTTTTTTTTTTTTTACTTATTTTTATTTGTTAATTTATTATGTAATATTTAAGAAATACATAAATGTAAAAGCATAGTTCAATAAATATTCATGCTTGAATAAAACATGCTCTCCCTTTCCTCATTCCAGGCAGCCTCCATGCTGCAGTTTTCATTCCCATTCATCTCTCTCTACTTTTGCTGCATATATATATTTATCCCTAAGAATTTATAGCATTATGACGTGTTCCAAAACTTTATGTAAGTGATACAGTGAAAGCACTCTTCTGTAATTTTCTTTCTTTTGCTCAGTGAGATTTGTTTATTATAATAGGTGTAGCTTTATAACATCTATTTCTGCTGCTGTATAGTATCCCAGTGAGTCTCTGTACCGAGATTTATCCATTTTCCTGTTAAGAGACATACAGGATATTTTAGCTCTTTTTCTGTATTAAAAGAAATGCCGGCCGGGCACGGTGGCTCACGCCTGTAATCCCAGCACTTTGGGAGGCCGAGGCGGGTGAATCACGAGGTCAGGAGATCAAGAACATCCTGGCTAACAAGGTGAAACCCCATCTCTACTAAAAATACAAAAAATTAGCTGGGCATGGTGGCAGGCACCTGTAGTCCCAGCTATTCAGGAGGCTGAGGCAGTAGAATTGCTTGAACCTGGGAGGCAGAGGTTGCAGTGAGCCAGGATTGTACCACTGCACCCCAGCCTGGGCAACAGAGCAAGACTCTGTCTCAAAAAAAAAAGAAAGAAAGAAAGAAATGCCATATAAATAGTATTGTACAGGTCCTCTCCTATACATGTGTGAAGGTTTTACAACCTGATGGAATTTCTAAAAATATCTGCAATGTAGTTAGATATTATTGTGCAGGGCTTCTCCTATACATGTGTGAAGGTTTTACAACTTGATGGAATTTCTGTCTAAGAGTATCTTCAATGTAGTTAGATATTAGCAGATTGTTCCTTAACGTGATTGTGTTACCAACGAGCAGTTTATATTCCTGTTGCTCCACGTGATCACCAACACACAGCATTGGCAAACTTCAAATTTTGCTGGCCTGGCATAGTACCTCATACCTGTAATTCCAACACTTTGGGAGGCTGAGGCAGGAGAATGACGAGCCCAGGAGTTCCAGACCATCCTGGGAAACATAGCAAGACCTGATCTCTAAAACTAATTTTAAGTTATTTGGTCATGGTGGCATGAACCTGTGGTCCCAGCTACTCAGGAGGCTGAGGTTGACGGATGGCTTGAGCCTAGGCCTCAGAGGCTACAGTGAGCTATGATTGCACCACTGCACTCCAGCTTTGCTTTTGTGCTGCATGTAACTTTGCTGGCAACACGAGACGTGCAAGACTTTGTCTTGAGTAAAGGAAAAATAAGTAAAAATTGCCAATTAGATGGGTGTAAAATAATGTCTCCTTTTAATTATACTTTGTGTTACCCTGATTACAAATATATTTACTGACTATATTTCTTTTGTAAATTTCTTTTTTTAATCTTTTATCTATTTAAAAAATTGAATATTTTTTTTTTACTGATTTCTAAGGGTTGTTTATATGTTCTAGATATTCTTTATGACTTACACATATTTTTATTTAATCTTCTGTGGATCTATGACCTGTCCTTTTACTTTTTTGAGGTTGATAATTTCAGTGTAATGAACTTCAAGTACTTTTTAAAACTGGTTAGTAGTTTTTATGTTTTGTTTAAGAAATTATTTCCTAAATAAGGATATAAGTCTAATCTCTATTTTCTTTACAAAGCTTTAAAGTTTGTTTTGCACATTTAGGTCTTTAATCCACTTGGAATTAATTTTTATGTGAGGTGTGAGGTAGGGATCCCTTTGATACTCTTTGTGTGGATAACCAGTCAACCTACTGCCATTAATTAACAGTCCATTCTTCCACAATGACCTGCAATTCTACCTTGTATATCTAAAGTGTCCATGTCACATACGGATTTATTTCTGGACACTTTCTTCTGTTCCGTTAGTATACTTATGTGTTCCTACACCAATACCACACTCATGTTTTACTAATTTTTAGCAATTTTGATAGGTGGTAGTGCAGACTCTCATACTTTGTCCTTTTTCAAAATTGTCTATTCTCAGCCCTTTGCTTTTCGTTTAAACTACAAACTCTTGGAAATTGAAATTACATTGACTCTGTTTATCAATTTGGGGAGAGTTGTTCCTGTCTCAACATGATACCTTTCCATGGTCTTCCATTTCTTTGAGTTAAGTTTTATAATGTTCTTCTAAAGATTTTGTGCATATTTCATTATTCTTACTCTTAGGTACTTTGTGTTTTGGGTTGTTTTTTAAATGCAGTTAGATAAAAATACCACTTTCATTTTATTGCTAACTTATATGAATGAAATTAACTTTTATATGTTGATTCTGCAATCTTGCCAAATTCTTATATTACTTCTGATAACATCTGTAGATTTCTCTTGTCAGAGGGATATAGTAAACAAATAAAAGCAGTTTGTTTCTTCTTTTTTTTTTTTTTTTCCAAGACAGGGTTTCACTCTGTCACCTAGACAAGAGTGCAGTGGTGCAGTCATGGCTCACGGTAGCCTCAGTCTCCCCAGGCTTAAGTGATTCTCCCACCTCAGCCTCACAGGTAGCCAGGATCACAAGTGTGTGTCACCACACCCAGCTAATCTTTTTTTTTTTTTTTTTTTTTTTGAGACAGAGTCTTGCTTTGTAGCCCAGGCTGAAGTGCAGTGGTGTAATCTTGGCTCACAGCAACCTCCACCTCCCACATTCAAGTGATTCTCTTGCCTCAGCCTCCCAAGTAGCTGGGGCTACAGTTGTGTGCCACCACACCTGGCTAATTTTTGTATTTTTAGTAGAGACAGGGTTTCGCCATATTGACCAGGCTGGTCTTGAACTCCTGACCTCATGATCCACCAGCCTCAGCCTCCCAAAGTTCTGGGATTAGAGACATGAGCCACTGCACCTGGTCAGTTTTGTATTTTTTGTAGAGATGGGTTTCACCGTGTTGTCCAGGCTGGTCTCAAACACCTGGGCTCAATACATCCTCCTCCCTCAGCCTCCCACAATGCTGGGATTGCAGGTGTGAGCCACTGCACCCAACCCAATTTCTCTCTTTCTTCCTACTCCATATACTTTTTATCTTTTTAATTAGCATACCTGGCCTTCAATACGACTTCGAGTAAAAAACAATAATGGTGGGAAAGCATTCCTTGTTGATTATATACAGAACATTTTGTTTTGCCAATATGTTACTAAGATTGCTATATGTTTTTTTTGTTTTTTGTTGTTGTTGTTGTTGTTTTTGAGACAGTATCTCCCTCTGTCCCCAGGCTGGAGTACAGTGGTGCGATCTTGGCTCACTGCAACTTCCACCTCCCATGTTCAAGTGATTCTCCTGTTTCAGCTTCCTGAGTAGCTGTGACTACAGGCATGTGCTACCATGCCCAGCTAATTTTTGCCTTTTTAGTAGAAATGGGGTTTCATGCCTGTAATTTCAGCACTTTGGGAGGCTAAAGCAGGTGGATCACCTGAGGTCAGGAGTTCAAGACCAGCCTGACCAACATGGTGAAACCTCATCTCTACTAAATATAAAAAATTAGCTGGCAGTGGTGGCGTGCACTTGTAATGCCAGCTACTTGGGAGGCTGAGCCAGGAGAATTGCTTTAATTTGGGAGGTGAAGGTTGTGGTGAGCCCAGATCATGACACTGCACTCCAGCCTGGGCAACAAGAGTGAAACTCCATCTCAAAAAAAAAAAAAAAGAATAAATATAGGCCAGATAAACTATACATAATGTTAAAATGTATAAAATATAAATTTTAATATGAGACATAATCTAATTAGAGTTCCAGAGGAGAGAACAAAACTGAAGAAAGACATTATTTGAAGGAATAAATGGCTGAACATTTTTCAGAACTAATGAAGGGATATCAGAATTATTAGAATTAAAAAGAAATTGGCCAGGTGTGGCGGCTCACTTGTATAATCCCACTACTTTGGGAGGCTGAGGCAGGCGGATCACCTAAGGTCAGGAGTTCAAGACCAGCTTGACAACATGGTGAAAACTCATCTCTACTAAAAATACAAAAATTAGCCAGGTGTGGTTACAAGTGCCTATAATCCCAGCTACTCGGGAGGCTGAGGCAGGAGAATTGTTTGAACTGAGAAGACAGGTTGCAGTGAGCCGAGACCACACCAATGCACTCCATCCAGCCTGGGCAACAAGAGCGAGACTCCAACTCAAAAAAAAAAAAAAAGAAAGAAAGAAATCTATACCTAGAGATACTGTAGTGAAACTAAATAATACACTAATTCTTTCTACCTGTTTGTGATTTAATACTTAATATGCTTTATTTCTTTATTTATAGACAGTCTCACTCTGTCACCCAGGCTGGAGTGCAGTGGCATGATCTCGGCTCATTGCAACCTCCACCTCCTGGGTTCAAGCGATTCTTCTGCCTCAGCCTCCCGAGTAGCTGGGACTACAGGCGCTTGCCAGCATGTCCGGCTAATTTTCGCATTTTTAGTAGAGATGTGATTTCACCATATTGGCCAGGATGATCTTGAACTGCTGACTTCGTGATTTGCCTGGGTTGGCCTTTCAAAGTACTGGTATTATATACATGAGACACTGTACCCGGCTGCTTTATTTTTTTTAATGATAATATTTCATCTATAAGCCCTCTTTGTGTGCTTTTTCAAATCTCCCTGGTTATTTTTGATGGTCTCTTCTTTTTGATATTTATTTATTTATGTAGAGATGGAGTCTCACTCTGTTGCCCAGGCTAGAGTACAGTGGCGCAATCTCGGCTCACTGCAACTTCTGCCTCCCAGGTTCAAGCGATTCTCCTGCCTCAGCCTCCTGAGTAGCTGGGAATATAGGCGCATGCCACCATACCCAGCTAATTTTTGTATTTTTAGTAGAGACAGGGTTTCACCATGTTGGTCAGGCTGGTTGCGAACTCCTGACCTCATGATCTGCCTGCCTTGGCCTCTCAAACTGCTGGAATTATAGGTGTGAGCCACTGCAGCTGGCCTATTTATTTGTTTTTTGAGACAGTGTCTCGCTCTGTGGCTCATGTTGGAGTGCACTGGCGCAACCTCAGCTCACTGCAACCTCAGCCTCCTGGGTTCAAGCAATTCTCCTGCCACAGTCTCCTGAGTAGCTGGGATTACTGGAGTGCACCACCTTGCCCAGCTAATTTTTTGTAGATACAGCGTTTCAACATGTTGCCCCCGGTTGATCTTGAACTTCTGAGCTCAAGCAATCTCCCCTCCTTGGCCTCCCAAAGTGTTAGGATTACAGGCGTGAGCTACTGCGACTGGCCTCTTACTCCATTTTCAATTTAGATTTCCTCTTTATATTTTTAAGTATGTATATTTTGTATCTGATAATTACAATATGAAATCCTTGGAGATCTTGTTCTATTATTTTTTTGGTTGTTATTGCTGTTAAAGTTTTCCACAGCCTTGTTCATTTTGGCATATTTCTTTATGGCCTTTATAATTTTGGATTTTGCTCTTTCATTAGCTCATCTTTACCTTGGGGAATTCTGAGGTTCATAGGTTGAGGTTTTGTTTCTGTAGTCAATATGTGTGTTTGTTTATGGCAGATTTTCCACAGCATTACCAACTAATACCCGTCTAATTGCTTGGCTTAGGTTTTCCCAAACAAGGCAAGTAGTAAAAATTCAAACATAAGTCCATGTATTATTAACAGGTTGTGGTTACAAACTCCCAGTTTCCCTTTTTTCTTTCATTATTACTTTTTTTTAAAGACAGGATCTCACTCTGTTTTCCAGGCTGGGGTGCAATGGTATGATCATAGCTCACTACAATCTTGAACTCCTGGGCTCAAGCAATCCTCCCACCTCAGCCTTCTAAGTAGCTGGAACTACAGACATGTGTCACCACACCCAGCTAATTTTTAAATTATAGAGATGGAGTTTCACTATGTTGCCTAGTCTGATCTCAAATTCTGGGTTCAAGCCATCCTCCTACCTCAGCCTCCCAAAGTACTGGGATTATAGGCGTGAACCACTGCGCTTAGCCCAAGTTATACTTTTTTAAACCTAAAGCACTCAGTTTGTTGTTCCAGCTGATGAAATTTTTTTTCTAATCCACTTATTTGCTACCTTTTAGAGCCTAAGGTGGTTTAACGACTACTCATCGCCTGTTAAAGCTCTAGGTTCCTATTATCGACAGTTGGCACCTCATGGTACCCAGATTGTCTGCATGAACTTCTCGTTCTGGTTTTAACTTCTGAGTATTTCCCTTATTTTCTTGTAAGCTTAGCTATGCAATTGGATTCTCCCTGCCCCACCCTTGCCCCAGCATTTATTTTGTTTTATACAAAAAGAATTTCAGAGATACTACTTAGTCCGGGGCCTGGTGGCTGGGCTCATTTTCTTCTTTCCAATCTGAGGTCTCTGCCACAAACATGCTCCACCACATCTTAGGTCAGGCCAAGAAGCATCCGAGCTTGATCCCCCTGTTTGTATTTATTGGAGCTGGAGGTGGTGGAGCAGCCCTGTATCTCTTGCGTTTGGCATTGTTCAATCCAGATGTTTGTTGGGACAAAAAGAATAACCCAGAGCCCTGGAACAAACTGGGTCCCAATGATCAATACAAGTTCTATTCAGTGAATGTGGATTACAGCAAACTGAAGAAAGAACGTCCAGATTTCTAAATGGAATGTAAAGCTGCTTTAAAATGAAGGTCTTCCAGAAGCCATCCGCACAATTTTCCACTGAACCAGGAAATATTTCTTCTCTAAATGCATGAAATCATGTTAATGTAATCTATTGGTGATTACACTGATTAATAAATAACTGAAACTTGAAAAAAAAAAAAAAAAAAAAGAATTTCAGACTACCCAGTTATCTGTATTGCCAGAAATGAAAATTGTATAAATTCTTTTATGATTTTGAACACTGTTACTGTGGATGATTCTCGTTGGGAACTGGTAGTAACTGGGCAGGATTTTATTCCTAGTTCTTTCCATTGGGTTAGGCTGCTGGATCATATGCATTTGAGTACTGGTGGGAAGGGGTTTCGTTTTCTTAGAACTGTAGAAGAAAATGAGGATAATTTCTAATGTTTCAGATTATGTATAAGTAATGGTATCTTTCTGTGTTAGGTAGTAGAACTACAAAATAGATTATCAGAAGAATCAAAGAAAGCAGATAAACTAGATTTTGAATATAAGCGGCTAAAAGAAAAAGTTGACAGTCTTCAAAAAGAAAAGGATGTGAGTATATGTATTAGGCATTTTGGTTTCGAGTACTGCTAAAATTAAGGTGATTATGTTTGTGTTTGGCCAGATTAATTGCTTATGAATTTAAAAATTAGAAATCCTATTTATTTTTAAGCCATAGGAAAATTCCATTTGTGTTTCAGAAATAAAGCAAAAAAAGAAGGGAATATTTTTATAATACTTTCATTCAAATTTCTTTTTTATACAGTTATCTTTTCTACCACTGTTGCCTTCTTTACATTGTTCTACTCATGACTTTTTTTTTCCTGCTCATGACTTTCTATGTTTGTTAAGCTTTGTTTTCTATATGAAAACAAGAAAGTCCTGTATGTATAGAGTACTTGGTTGTTCAGTGTATTTTGAATCTTTTAAAAATATTTCTACTTTTTGATGATTTTAGGAATATTGTCTTTCTTCTTCAATCTTTTATGTCTAATGAAAAGAATGTTAAGAAATTAGTTACTAATTATTAAAGATGGAGTAGACAGTTTGTTTCTTAAGTTTAACTGTGGATAGCATATTGCCTTGCACATAGTAGATATTCAGTATTGTTAAATGGGAAGACTTGTTTTCATCTTTTCCTCCTTCTGTGATCTTCCAAAGAAGAGAAAAGGTAAAACATGTTCATGTTCACTATTGTTTTTTTTACTGTCTTGATTGAGTTATATACTATTGTTTATCATTCTGTTAGGCAAAGCAGAGAGGCCACTGATGAATAAATTCTTAAAACATGAAGCTAACCCTCCATGTTTTTGTCTCTCTCCAGAGACTGAGAACAGAAAGGGATTCTCTGAAGGAAACCATTGAAGAACTTCGTTGTGTACAGGCTCAAGAAGGGCAGCTCACAACTCAAGGTAAAAATGTTTTGGGAGCACAAACCAGATGACTTTTTTTTTTTTTTTTTTTTTGAGACAGAGTCTTGCTGTGTTGCCAGGCTGGAGTGCAGTGCAGTGACACAATCTCAGCTCACTGCAACCTCCGCCTCCCAGGTTGAAGCAATTCTCCTGCCTCAGCCTCCTGAGTAGCTGGGACTGCAGGCACGTGCCACCACGCCCAGCAAAGTTTTTGTATTTTTAGTAGAGTCAGGGTTTCACCATGTTGGCCAGGATGGTCTCAATCTCTTGACCTCATGATCCGCCACCTCAGCTTCCCAAAATGCTGGGATTATAGGTGTGAGCCGCCATGCCCGGTCAGATGGTTTATTTCCAGTGGTATACATAAAAATATTTGGTTCACTTGAGCATGATTGTACCAGTAGATAAAAATGAAACATTGTGCCCACGTGCACTCCTCCTTGAAAAGCTTGGGCCCCAGTGATTGCCTTTTCTTATTGGTCCAAATCATGGTGCAAACCCTCAGTCACTGAGCCAATTTCCAAGTCAGTCATACAGGCTTGTTTGAGATGAACATGCATGAGGCAAAGAGACATCTTAAAAGTGGTTGGTTTGTCTTAGAAAATGGCCAAACCCAGGGAGCCTGTGCAGCTCCTTCCCGTTCTGCAAGGATTGTGTCCCCTTATTTTTGACCTCAAAGCCTTGTGTAAAACAAGCGCCCTAAGAGATCTCCAGGCAGTCCATCTGTTGGTGTGGATGCCGAGTCCCGCTGTAGTGCCTGGCTACTGATTGGCCAAGAAAGGCCTCCTAGGCCCTCATTGGAGGATATGAACGCCCCTCCTTGGCCTGGCTGCATGAAGCGGTGGTTCAGATGAGGACAAGCAGCAGGCTGGGGAGAGGAGCCGTGGGTGGGGCGCATGCGGGAGTGGGAACCTTAGAGGCCAGGCTCTGGAGGTGTTGTGGGGAGGAGAGAGCTGGCATGTTTCTTAACAATGAAAGCACCACCGACCCCTCAGCACTGCTGGGCTGCGACACCTGCCTGACCTGTGTTCCTTTCAGGAGGATTATGTGCTGTTAGGTATTATTTTTTTCCAGCCTTTGACATTACCATATTTCATTTCTCAATCAGCATTGATTTTTAAAAATCCTGGCCTAGTCTCTTGCCATGGACTCATTCATCCCCCAGTTATTGAGTGCCTGCTGTTTGCCAGGCATTGTTAGTAGAGCTGGAGATACAAAAATAAATTAGGCAATTGTGGTACAAGATTACAGGTGCTATAATTGAAATGTGTGCAAGGGCTGGTAGTGACATAAAGGATCTTCCTTGTGGATAGGTTTACTCAGAAAGGCTTACCAAAGACACAGGATGAGTCAAGAATGAATGAGAGGGCTTTAACAGGCCTGAGAGAAAAGTGGACATGACTTCTCCAGCTATCAAATTAGACGCTGCTGCCATGCTAATTCTCCAAACGAGGAACAAAAGTAGTGTAATAGAGGTATTCTAATACTTAAGATATATTTATTTATTTATTATTTTTTTAAATCCAAGTGCCATAAAAGAGGATTTAAGCCTAATTCCAACTTTACTGTAAACTGCTTCTGGCAGACAATTTAAGCTTAGACCCAACAGTGCTATTTGGGTTAGGAGTTGTCAGTGTTTTGTAGAAAAGGGCAAATTTAGGCTGGTGGCGGTGGCTCACGCCTATAATCTCAACACTTGGAGAGGCTAAGGTGGTCAGATGGTTTGAGCTCACAAGTTCAAGTGAAGCCTGGACAACATAGCAAGACACCCCCCCCACAAAAAAATTTAAAAAATTAGCTGGGCATGGTGGCATGTGCCTATGGGCCCAGCTACTCAGGAGGCCAAGGTGGGAGGGTCACTTGAGCCTGGGAGGCAGAGGCTGCAGTGAGCTGAGGTCGCACCACTGCATTCTAGCCTGGGCAACAAAAAAAAAAGAAATGGACCAACCAAGTAATAGGACAATTGCCCGGGCTGTGGTAAGGATGACAAAAACAAAAGCTTAATTGAAATTTGGGTTTTTTAAACCTACTCATGAAGTTTGTGTAAGAATGGTGTTTCTTGAAGCATGGTAAATAGTGTTAGAGTCATCTGGGATGCAGATTCCCAGGTCCACTCATGCCTACAAATTTGGGACTCTGGGACAAGGCTCAGAAAGGTGAATTTTAAAATAGTTCCCCGGATGTTTTTATTGTGTGTGTGCACATCAGTGTTTTAGGCCCTCTGGCATAGGATAATGGAGACAGATGTAAAGTAAAATTCATTTCCTCACTTTGCATGTTGGGAGAACATATTTATAGCTCACCTTTCTGTCATCACCTTTATTATCAGTGTGAGATAGTACAGTCCTCAAAAAATATGAATAAAATAACTCACAGAAAAAATTTCCTTAAACACTCTGTTGCCTGACACTCCTTATATAAGCAGAAAGGGATCTGGGACCTCAGCTTCTAAAATGAGAACTATGCTAAGCATCAAAAATGGAAGACACTTGTGGACCCCCTGTCTAGTGAATACAGCGAACCACAGAAGGACGTGACAGTAGTTTCTTGGCTTGCTTGAGTTCCTTCTTACTTTACCTTGGTTGATCCAAAAAGAAACACAAAGTTGAATCACTTAGGTGGGCTGATGATTCCATATCATTCAAGCTTTCAATCACTTGGAGAAAAAAAAAAAGATGTGTGGAGATACCCCAAAACATATTTAGGTTAACTTTGTTGTATGCTTTATTTGATTAAGACACTTAACCATTAGGCTGGGTGCAGTGGCTCACGCCTGTGATGCCAGCATGGGAGGCCAAGGCAGGCAGCTCACTCGAGGCCAGGAGTTTGAGACCAGCCTGACCAATATGGCGAAACCTCACCTCTACTAAAAATACAAAAATTAGCCAGCCATGGTGGCACATGACTGTAATCCCAGCTATTCAGGAGGCTGAGGCATGAGAATCGCTTGAAACTGGGAGGTGGATGCCATAGTGAGCTGAAATAGCACCAATGCATTGCCGCCTGGGCAACAGAGCAAGACTCTGTCTCGAAAAAAAGAAAAAGCAAACAAAAACTTAACCTTTAAAGAAGGCCCAACAAGATTCACAACTTAAAAAAAAAAAAACATAAACATTGAATACCATCATAATAGGCTCTGCTACTAACTAGCTGTGTGGCTTGAGCTAGTAACTAAACTCTCCAAGACTTGGTTTGTTCAGCAAAATGAGAATCATAACTTCTTTCTCCAGAGCCAGGGGAAGAGTTTTAGAGTTTTAGATGCTCTGAGTAATGAGCATTCCCCAATATGTAATTTTAAATGAAAACAGTATTAAATGTAATATAGAAGAAGTTCTGCTTTTTCCTGTGTTGGCTGTAATACTCTGATATTCTTTCTTAAGAAGATATTAGATAACCATTTTCTTTCTTTCCTTTATCTTCCCCCCTTTTTTTTCCTTTGAGATGGAGTCTCGCTCTTGTCACCCAGGCTGGAGTGCAATGACGTCATTTCGGCTCACTGCAACCTCTGCCTCCTGGGTTCAAGCGATTCTCTTGGCATAGCCTCCCAATAGATTAGATTACAGGTACCTACCACTCTGCCTGGCTAATTTTTGTATTTTTAATAGAGATGGGGTTTTGCTGAGTGTGGTGGCTCATGCCTGTAATCTCAGCACTTTGGGAGGCTGAGGCGGGTGGATCACAAGGTCAAGAGATAGAGACCATCCTGGCCAACATGATGACATTTTTAGTCTCTACTAAAAATGCACAAATTAGCTGGGCATAGTTTCGGGTACCTATAATCCTGCTATTGGGGAGGCTGAGACAGGAAAATCGCTTGAACCCAGGAGGTGGAGGTTGCAGTGAGCCAAGATCATGCCACTGTACTCCAGCCTGGGCAACAGAGTAAGACTCCGTCTCAAAATTAAAAAAAAAAAAGAGACGGGGTTTCACCATGTTGGCCAGGCTGATCTTGAACTCCTGACTTCAGGTGATCTGCCTACTTTGGCCTCCTAAAGTGCTTGGGATTACAGGCGTGTGCCACTGCACCTGGCTAGATAACCATTTGCTCTTGAAAAATTAGGGTGACCTAGTTTTGCTGGTGCCCTAAGCCCATATCTAGTGGCAGATAATTTAGTGCTGCACTTAACACAGTTGTTTCAAAGATCAAATAGAATATGGGCCAGGCATGGTGGCTTGTGACTGTAATCCCAGCACTTTGGGAGGCCAAGGAAGGAGGATTTCTTGAGGCCAGGAGCTTGATTTCAGCCTGGCCAACATATTGAGACTCCATCTGTTTCTAAATATATATTCTAAAAATAAAAATAATGGCTGGGTGCGGTGGCTTATGCCGGTAGTCCCAGCTACTTCAAAGGCTCAGATGGGAGGATAACTTGAGCCCAAGAGTTAGAGGCTGCAGTGACCTGTAATCATGTCACTGCACTCCAGTCTGAGCAACAGAGCAAGATCCTGTCTCAAAATAATAAACATTTAAAAAATAAAGAACATGGTATATAATTGCACCTAATACAGTGACTGTCACAGTTGGAATCTGAATCTTTGTATGTCACATAAAAGAAGTTTCATTTATTCACTCAGCACACTTACGTGCCTATTATATGCAGATCACTGTGCTCCCTCTGACAAGGAGCTTTGATGCCAAACTTCATAGCCTGAGATGAGTGGATTGATCCACTCCCTTCTTAACCACTGGAAATGTTCTGCTAATAAGCCTGTTTTCTTCATTTGTTACAAAATGAAAAATTGGTGAAGAGGCAGCAAAATTGGTAAAATTTTTGAACTGTTACCAGATTTTATGCCATATAGGCTATAGTTATGTGACTGATTTTACTTGCCTACTTTAAAAGCATTTTTAAAAAATATCTGCATTTTATTTAAGTCAAAATTATAAACATTTGTTGAATCATCTGTTAGTCTGGAGAGTTTTACTCCGAAAAATTTCTAATGACCTTTTTAAAAGTATATCAAAGTTTTTTTTCCCCCCTGAAACAGAGTCTATCTCTGTTGCCCAGGCTAGAATGCAGTGGCACGATCTCGGCTCACTGCAACCTCAGCCTCCCTTTTAAGTCCTTTATGTTCTTTTCTAAGTTGGTTATTCTAGTTAGCATTTCATCTAACCTTTTTTTCAAGGTTCCTAGTTTCTTTGCATTAGAACATGTTCTTTTAGCTCAGAGAAGTTTGTTATTAGCCACCTTCTGAAGCCTGCTTCTGTGAATTCATCTGACTCATTCACCATCCAGCTTTGTTCACTTGCTGCTGAGGAGTTGTGATCCCTTGGAGGAGGAGAGATGTTCTGGTTTTTGGTGTTTTCATCCTTTTTGTGCTGTTTTTTTTCCATCTTTGTGGACCTGTGGTCTTTGTAGTTGGTGATTTTCAGATGGGGTCTCTGAGTGGACGTCCTTTTTGTTGCTGTTGAAGCTATTTCTTTCTGTTTTTTAGTTTTCCTTCTAACAGGCTTCTCTGCTGCAGGACTGCTGGAGGTTCACTCCAGACCCTGCTTGCCTGAGAATACCCCTGGGGGCTGCTGAACAAACAGTAAGAGTTGCTGCCAGTTTCTGCTTCTGTTATCTTTGTCCCAGAAGGGTATCCACCAGGTGTCAGCCAGACCTCTCCTTTATGAGGTGCCTCTTTGGATCTACAGGGGTTGGGGAGCCGCTTGAGGAGATAGTCTGTCTCTTATCAGGGCTCAAGTGCTGTACTGGGAGCTCTGTTGTTCGTTCAGAGCTGCTGGGCAGGTACGTTTAAGTCTGCTGCAGTGGAACTCATAACTGCCTCTTTTCTCAGGTGCTCTGTCCTGGGAATCTGGGGTGTTATTTATAAGTTTCTGACATGTTGCTCTGCTGCCTCTTTTCAGAGATGCCCTGCCCAGCAAGGAGGTAGTCTAGTTGCAGTCTGCCAGCAGAGGTGTTGCTGAGCTGCGGTGGGCTCTGCCCAAATGCTGTGTAAGCTTCCTTGCAGTTTTGTTTACAGAGGTACAGTTAGAACTGCCTTGGTAGTGGCGGACTGCCTCGGTAATGGTGGGCTGCCTTGATAATGGTGGGCTGCCTCACTAATGGCGGGCTGCGTTGGTAGTGGTGGACTGCCTCAGTGGTGGTGGACGCTCTTCCCCCCACAGAGCGGGACCGTCCTGGGTCCAGCTGCGCTTGCTGCAAAACTTCAAATCCAGAGCATTTCAAATTGCTGGTCTTTGTGGGGGTGGGACCCGCTGAGCCAGATCACCTGGCTCCTTGTTTCAGCCGCCTCTTTTTCATTTGAATGGGCGGCTCTGTCTCCCAGGCATTCCAGGCACCAGTTGAAGCGGCTGCCCAGATTTATGTGAGTTTTTGTGCAGAAACCCGGGGTACTAGCTGAAACGGCTGTGCTGGAAATTCATGGCGCTTTTCGGCCCAGGAATCTCCGGGTCTGTGGTGGTTAAAAACTGTGGGAGAAGCCAGGTGTGGGTGGCTCACGCCTGTAATCCCAGCACTTTCAGAGGCCGAGGTGGGTGGATCACGAGGTCAAGAGATCGAGCTCATCCTGGCCAACATGGTGAAACCCCGTCTCTACTAAAAATACAAAAATTAGCTGGGTATGGTGGCATGCGCCTGTAGTCCCAGCTACTCAGCAGGCTGAGGCAGGAGAATTGCTTGAATCCAGGAGGTGGAGGTTGCAGTGAGCCAAGATCACACCACTGTACTCCAGCCTGGCGACAGAGCAAGACTCCTTATCAAAAACAAACAAACGAAAAAACTGCGGGAAAAGCAGCACTATCTGATCCAGAGTGCTGGAGTAGATGTAAAAGCCCCCGATGGCCTCTGTTGGGTAGGGAGGCGGGTAATCCAGGGATTGTACTTCCTGGGTGAGGCAGCGCCCTACCCTGCCTTGCCCTTTTTGGGCTACACCCACTATGCAAACAGTCCCATTGAGATGCATCTGGTACCTCGTTTGTAAATGCAGTGATAACGGTGATAACTCACCCTCTGTGTTGCTCTCACTAGGAACTGCACTCCAGAGCTGTTCCTATTTGGCCATCTTGGATCTCCCTCTCAGCCTCCCAAGTAGGTGGGATTATAGGCACCCACCGCCACACCCGGCTAATTTTTTGTATTTTTAGTCAAGACCAGGTTTCACCATGCTGGCCAGGCTGGTCTCAAACTCCTGACCTTGTTATCTGCCTGCTTTGGCAAGTGTGAGCCACTGTGCTCAGCCGTATCTCAAACTTTCTGTATCAAGCCAGGAACAGTGGCTCTTGTCTTTAGTTTCAGCTTCTTGGAAAGCCAGGTGGGAGGATCACTGGAGCCCAGGAGTTTGAGGTTACATTGAGCCAAAATTGTGCCACTTCACTCTAGCATGGGTGACAGTGTGAGACCCTATCCCTAAAAAAACAAAACAAAACAAAAACAAAAAACAGCATCAACAAAAAGGACGTCCACTCAGAGACCACATCTGAAAGTCACCATCTACAAAGACCACAGGTCTTGCTCTGAGCTCGAACTCCTAAGCTCAAGCAATCTGCCCACCTAGACCTCCCAAAGTGCTGGGAGATTACAGGCATGAGCCACCACACCCAGCCAAAATAGTGTCTCTTATAAATGACTCAGTTTTAATTATTCTGTTATAAGCAACAGAAAATGGACTAGGACACCCTCTTTGTGTATGTATCCTTTAATATAGCACTTTTGCTCTTAGGAATTAAATTTACCCTAATGAATTAAAGCATTGTTTCTAATAGTGACATTTCAAAACAAGCTGAAAGTTCAGCAATATAGGAATAGTATTCTTATTCAACTGTATACAGTATAGCCATTTAAAAGAATAAGGTATATTTTCTATACACCTGACAGAGAGATATGTATGTTACATCATTACATTTAAAAAGTAAGGCTGGGCGCAGTGGCTTACGCCTGTAATCCCGGCACTTTGGGAGAGTGAGACTGCCAGATCACCTAAAGTCGGGAATTCGAGACTAGCCTGGCCAACATGGTGAAACCTGTCTTATGTAAAAATACAGAAAATTGGTCAGGCTTGGTGGCAGTCTCCTGTAATCCCAGCTACTTGGGAGGCTGAAACAGAAGAATTGCCTGAACCCAGGAGGCAGAGGTTGCAGTGAGTCAAGATTGTGTCATTGCACTCCAGCCTGGGCAACAGAGTGAGACTTGATCTCAAAAAAAAAAGTAGGGGAGGGAGAAATAGGGAATTATTGCTTAATGGTTATAGAATTTGTGATTTGGATAATGAAAAAGTTTTGAAAATATGTAGCAGTGATGGTTACACAACGTTGTGAATATACTGAATGCCACTCTATTGTACATTTAAAAATGGCTAAAATGGTAAAATACTAATACTTAATAATATTTTAAGACCACTGTGACATGATCTTTTACTTGAGAAAATTATTTTTGCTGATAAAATTAATGCTCAAAGTAGGATTTCATATTGAAGTTGTATGACTGTGTTATCAGTTAGCCTTATATTTATGTTTGTATATTTACAGGGTTAATGCCTCTGGGAAGTCAGGAGTCTTCAGACAGTCTAGCTGCAGAGATTGTTACACCTGAAATCAGGTAAGAAGATTGTGGCGTTCACACACTGAACAGTATTCCTGGAGAAAACTTACTTCTATAGTAGGAAGAGGATCATTTCCTTATTCTTTCTCACTGACACTTTAAACATGAATTCAGTGTTAAATTTTTATATTTTCAACATGTTGGGGTTCAGGGGAGCCTTCAGTTCCCCTGAGAGGATGTTTCTCCAGATTCTTGGTCTGTCACTCTGCAAGAATGGGAAAGGAGACCACGGTGCAGTGCACTTACAAAAGTAAATGCCAAACTCAAAAGTATTTGTAGAAAGTGATTTATGTAGGCAGAGACAGAAAAAGGAGAAGAGAGAAAACTTCAAGGAAGAGCGTATGGAAGTGGGACCCCACAGGGGAAATCCAGGAGGGGAAAAGGAGCTCCCACTATGTGGGAGGGGATTCCAGAGAGCTGGAAATCCAGTGTGGGTGAAGGAGCAGGGGAATTTATCCTGGGAGAAATTCCCACCTCCTCCAGTTCCTTTGGCCAATGAAAGGAGTTCCTTTAAACTTCCGCTGGGGTGATTGACTTTTAGTTTCTTCCCACACCCGCAAAATTTAAACATAACCCGTTAAATCTGCCGGATGGGGAGAGATGGGAGGGGGTCTGGCAAGTTCTTGCCCTTAAAACTACGCCCCCTTGTGGACTTGGAAAGAGAACACATTCCTTCAGTGTTAGAAGCTTTCTTCAACTGGGCCTGCAGAAAATTGATTTGCTCACTTCAGTAATGTGTGAAAGACAATCTTTCACACATAACAAAGCCAGCAATTTTATCCTGAGCTTGAGTAAACTCAGCAAACATTAAGCAGTGAAGACACTTGGCCTGTAGACAATGGTTATGTTTAGCTATCAGCATGCAAAATCATTAGTTACTAAGATTTATCTACTAACCACATGGAAAGGTCCGGGAAAGATATAATGCTATAGACAGGAGGAAATGACTTCCCACCTTCACTACTCTTTCCTCAGTAATACCTTGTATTTTTAATCACAGCATTTAAAAAAATCCATTTATTTATTTATTTAGAGGCAAAGTCTTGCTCTGTCACCCAGGCTAGAGTGCAGTGGCATAATCACGGCTCACTACGGCCTTGACCTTCTGGGCTCAAGCAATCCTCCTACCTCAGCCTACTTAGTAGCTGGGATCTTAGGCATGTGCCACTACGCCTGGCTATTTTTTTGTAGAGACTGGATTTTGCCATGTTTCCTAGCCTGGTCTTGAACTCCTTGAGCTGAAATGATCTGCCCACCTTGCCTTCTCAATGTGCTGGGATTACAGGCGTGAGCCACTGCACATAGTCAGTTCCATTTTTATTTTTATTTTTTTGAGACAGAGTCTTGCTCAGTCATCAGGCTGGAGTACAGTGGTATGATCTTGGCTCACTGAAACCTCCAACTCCCCGGTTCAAATGATTCTCCTGCCTCAGCCTCCCAAGTAGCTGGGATTACAGGCACACGCCACCACACCCAGCTATTTTTTGTATTTTTAGTAGAGACGGGTTTTCCCCATGTTGCCTAGGATGGTCTCAATCTCCTAACTTCATAATCTGCCCTCCTCAGCCTCCCAAAGTGCTGGGATTACGTACATGAGCCAGCGTGCCCAGCCAGTTCCATCTATTTTTATGCATAACTAGCTTTATATATAAAAATGAAAAGTAGGCTGGGCCCCATGGCCTGTAATCTCAGGGAGGCCAAGGTGGGCAGATCACCTGAGGTCAGGAGTCGAGATTAGCCTGACCAACATTGAGAAACCCCGTCGCTACTAAAAATACAAAATTAGGTGGGCGTGGTGGCACATGCCTGTACTCAGAAGGTACTTGGGAAACTGAGACAGGAGAATTGCTTGAACCTGTGAGGCGGAGGTTGCAGTAAGCCAAGATTGCACCATTGCACTCCAGCCTGAGTAACAAGTGAAATTCTGTCTAAAAAAAGAGAAGTGGGATAGGCACCAAGTGTCCATTAAAAGGAGAATTATTAATGCTGAATATTGCTTTTTACCTTTTTGTGGCCTATTTGCCCCTTTTTAAATGGACACTGGCCTTGCTTCTTCATAAACTTCTTGGGGGATATTAAATAACAATTGTGTAAGGGTTTCACGCACTGTAAAAGTTGAAATAAGCATTCAAATACTTGTTGAATACATGGAGACAGTTTATAGTTGTTGGTTAGCATTTGTTTAGGAAGGACAAACAGGTTGGGCATGGTGGCTCACACTTGTAATCCTAGCATTCTCGGAGGCCAAGGTAGGTGGATCACCTGAGATCAGGAGTTTGAGACCAGCCTGACCAACATAGCAAAACCCTGCCTCTACTAAAAAATACAAAATTAGCTGGGCATGGTGGTGCATCCCTTTAATCCCAGCTACTCAGGAGGCTGAGGTAGGAGAATCGCTTGAACCCAGGAGGTGGGGATTGCAGTGAGCTAAGATTTTGCCATTGCACTCCAGTCTAGGCAATAAGAGCAAGACTCTGTCTCAAACAAATAATAATAATAATAAGAAGGACAGACGAAAGGAGTGCAAAGCAGCACCAAGTCTGGAAGTATTTTGTGTGCCTTTTTCTTTTCTGACATCTGATATGCTACTTTATAATTGAACCAGTAAGATTTGTTGAATAAATGAACATATGTGTATGAACATTTATAAATAAGTGGTTATGTCCAAAACAATCCACAGTTTTTAAGGAAGCTTATTGGTAATACAGTTGGTTTTTTAAAACTAAGAACAGTGATAGGCCAGACACGGTGGCTCATACCTGCAGTGTCAGCGCTTTGGGAGGCCAAGGCAGGCAAATCACTTGAGGCCAGGAGTTCGAGATCATCCGGACTAACATGGCAAAACTTCATCTCTACTAAAAACAAAAAAATTAGCTGAACGTGGTGGCACATGCTTATAATCCCAGGTACTCAGGAGGCTGAGGCACGAGAATCATTTAAATCTGGGAGGCAGAGGTTGCAATGAGCCAAGCTGGCACCTTGGTACCCCAGCCTGGATGACAGCTAGATTCTGTCTGCAAAAAAAAGAATGATGATAAAGATTCAACAAATACGACTTTTCTGAGTATGACTAGATACAAATTAAAATTGGCTCTATGTCCAGAAGAGAGCTATCAAGGAAAAATTATAAACTGGGGTGAAAATTTTGCAACATATTTTAGACAGTAGGTTAATATTTGATCTGTTTTATTTATGTTAAGGGTGTGGACAAATTGGAAATCTCATAAACTAAGGAAAAAAGATTAAAGTGGTAAGACCTTTCTTTTGAGGAGATTGGCAGGATGTGTCTGTTTAAAAATGCACGTATCTTTTGATCCAGAAATTACTTTTCTGCAAGTTAATCCTAAGGAAATAACTAAGGATATACAGAAAAGTATATTTATAAAGCTAATCTTGGCCGGTCACGGTGGCTCATCCCTGTAATCCTAGCACTTTGGGAGGCCAAAAGCAGGTGAATCACTTGAGGTTAGGAGTTTGAGACCAGCCTGGCCAACATGGTGAAACCCAGTCTCTACTAAAACTACAAAATTAGCCAGGCGTGGTGGCACATGCCTGTAATCCCAACTACTCAGGAGGCTGAGGAAGGAGAATTGCTTGAACCTGGGATGTGGAGGTTGCAGTGAGCCAAGATCTCGCCACTGTACTTCCAACCTGTACTACGGGAGCGAGACTTCATCTCAAAAAAAAAAGGAAAAAAAGGTCTTATTAACTCGTTTAAAGCTCAAAATTGGCAGCAATCTAAATACCCCAAAATTGGGCATTTATTAAATAAGTAACGCTTTTGATGCCATGTCATTTAAAATATTCAAATATATTTAATGATATAAAAAGATTGTGAAATTTTAGGTGTAAATAGCAGGCATCAATGTAAAAAGTACTGTGTGATTCAATTTGTGTGTATATGTGCATAGAATTAGAAGGTCATATTTCAGCAGTAGTCATTTTGCACCATAGTTGTGGAGGGTTTATATTTCCTTTTTTTTCCTTTTTTTTTTTTTACAATGTGTGTGTGTACTTTGTAACTGAAAAAGATAAAGTCCATGTTGTCCGTAACAAAATACATCAAATTCTAAATAGTTAACTTGAATTAGATCACAAATTTGGTTCATCTTTTCAGTAGCAAAACTAAAACTAAGATTTATTGTGTTTAAAAAATAAGAGCAATGTATGTGTGTGTGCATGTTTCTTTCTTGATTTTTCTTTTTCCACAAGAAGCTTTTCCACAGCTTTTCTTAGTATCTGGTATCTGTTCACACTATCTTTATGGGGCCCTCTACAGATGACCCTGTGTAAAGAAAAGAATGAATTATACCTGTGTAAAGAAAAGAATGAATTATATCTTCAACAAGTATGTCTTCATATGAACTAACATTTAATTACATTGTCTCTGCAGAAAATGTGGTAGCAAGTTCTGTATAGATACTGTTTTTAATATCCCTTAATATTAAGCTTTTGGCATATGCAGTGTCCAAAACAATGCAGTCCAATAACTTGATTGTAATGATCTGGCTTGTTTCAAGAATTTAATTTTACATATCTACAGGAATGGGTAGACTGAATGTGTTGAAGTGATTCTTGTTGAATATAATATCTTGCCACCAAATGATTGGTAATTTAAGAGCATAGCATTAGCGATTATGTTCTCTGATAAGAATCACATAAATAAATAAAGGCATTCATAACTTAAATATTTAAATCAGAGATGAAATAGGATTTTGAAATCACATTCATTACAAATCATGATATTTAGAGACTATATTATTTTCATATTATCCATTCTATAAAGAAAATATTTAAAATCTGAATTGTAATGTCTTTGCCAGCTATAATAGCTGAATTTGTTGCAAGTTCTTTGTTTTTCATTTCTGTTCTGGTATTAAATTTGTAAGAGTGCTTAGCTGGATTTGATACTTGCATTGAATGTTAATGCACCAAATGACTGTGTATATAATATTTAGTTTTTATTTTGCTCATTCAGGGAGAAACTTATTCGTCTTCAGCATGAGAATAAGATGTTAAAACTTAACCAAGAAGGTTCAGACAATGAAAAAATAGCCTTATTGCAGAGCCTTCTAGATGATGCAAATCTACGCAAGAATGAACTGGAGACAGAGAATAGGTAGAGTATTATCGGTGGCCGCATCTGGCTACAAGTTTTCCCTATTTGCTTTGATTCTTAACCCCTTAAACAAAGATCTGGCAGGACATGGTGGCTCGTGCCTGTAATCCCAGCACTTTGGGAGGCCAAGGAGGGCAGATTACTTGACCCCAGGAGTTCAAGACCAGCCTGGGCAACATGGTGAATGAAACTCCATCTCTATAAAAAATGTAAAAATGTCTGGGCGTTTATATTTTGTGGTGGCTCATGCCTATAATCCCAGCACTTTGGGAGGCTGGGGTGGGTGGATTACCTGAGGTCAGGAGTTCAGGTGCAGCCTGGCCAACATGGTGAAACCCCATCTCTTCTAAAAAATAAAATTAGCTGAGCATGATGGCACTTGCCTGTCCAGCTACTTGGGAGGCTGAGGCAGGAGAATTGCTTAAATTTGGGAAGTAGAGGTTGCAGTGAGCCAAGATCGTGCCATTGCACTCCAGCCTGGGCGATGAATAAAACTCCATCTAAAGAAAAAAAGCAAAACTCAACCAGGCTTGGTGGTACATGCTTGTGATCGCAGCTACTCACGAGGCTGAGGTAGAAGGATCATTTGAGCCCAGGAGGTGGAGGTTCCGGTGAGCCGAAATCACACCACTGCACTCCAGCTTGGGCAATTAGAGCAAAATTCTGTCTCAAACAACAACAAAGATCTGAGTTGTAGTTTGAAAAATGGTTATGTGCTGTTCTCTTACCCTTTAAGAGAACTCAAATCCATTTCTCCACTTTTGGGCAGCCTTGTCAAAAAACATTGTGCCTTTTTAGAATGGTGTTGTCCTCTTCCCTTCTTCAGGCAAAAGGATACCGGAGCTCTACCATTTACCCTTTCTAATCACTAATTAAAACTAGAGGAATTTTAAAAATCTGATAATTCAGTCTTTCACTAGAATTTCAATTCATAGTCAGTGTTGCAGTAATAGAGTTTACTGTTTCCACAGGCCAGTGTGTTTGAGCTCTGTTGGTGTGGGGAGAGCAGTAGCTCTCTCGTAATTGTATTGACAAAGCATTTTTCTTGTAATATGTTATTTATTATGACCCTAAAAGGAAATGATTAATCTTAGGAACAACCCGCTTATTTTAAGAATTTAGAATCTGCAAAATTAACAAGAAAATCACTTTTCTGCTTGTACGTTTTCAGCAACATGGTGCTATTCACTCATTCAAAGTCAGTTACTTTAAAATCAGTGATTTACTCTGACAAGGGCTATATTTATATTTTGTTGGGACTGTGTTTTTATTCTTTTCCTTTTTGGAAATGTATCTTAGATCCCAAACATTCCGGTTTTTTTTTTCTTTTTTGTTTTGTTTTGCTTTCTTTTTGTTTTACTGCAGTGATACTCTGTCATTTTTGAAGGTTTTGAAATTTTTATTAGTAGCTCCATAGCTCACCTTACATTGCAGATCCTTTGTTTATTTTGAATAATTGATTTGTCCTCTCCCAGATGGAAGTCAATCTTAGGAGTCACAATTGCTATGACAGTTGTACTCATCCTACTCTTCTTTCTGTAGCTTTACACTTTAAAGCTACTGAGATAAACAGTATAAATAGACAAACAGTATAAATTAGTATAAATGCTAGGGTGATTATAAGACCACCATCAAGCTTAACAAGAATGAGAAAATTTTACATCAACTCTTAGGAGTCTAGAGAATGGGTGATTTTTTTTTTTAAAGTACTCAGAAAAAGTGGGAAATGGAGACAGTGGAGCAGGAGGAATTGCAGGAACAGCTAGCAGGTGGACAGTCCCGCTGGTGAAAGTGTCTGATGTTCGCCTCATTCATCCTTTGCCTCTGGGCTGTATTTTAGCCATTGTAGTCAAGGTAAGTTAAAAATTAGGATAGGTCTCTCTCTACCCTAATTTTTTTTTTTAAGTGAAAAATCACCCACAACTTTCTTCATACCGCTTTGCATTGTTTCTCACAGGCTTTATAATTATTGCTCTTTTTACCAGAGACAGGACAGCCAGTTGTCATTATACAATGTCCATGTCTGTGGATGACCAATCACCTCCTAAGTTCCTGTGTGACTTACTGCTGGGTACAACTTAGTGTTGTGATTGTTTATTAAATTACAACACTGATGATAAATAACTTTTAGATTATAGCTACCTGTTACTTATAACAACAACAAATAATAGTTAATATTTACTGAGCACCTGTTTGTCTCAGGTATTGTGCTGGGGCTCCTAAACATCCTTTCTTACTTTATGGAAGTTTTACAGATGAGGAAACTCAGACTCAGACCCTGACTGCCTGACTCCAAAGTGTCCATACCTAATCCATACTCTTTCTTTCCTTTCTTTTCTTTTTCTTTCTTTTCCTTCCTTCCTTTCTTTCTCCTAATCCATACTCTTTCTTTCCTTTCTTTTCTTTTTCTTTCCCTCCCTCCCTCCCTCCCTCCCTCCCTCCCTCCCTCCCTTCCTTCCTTCCTCTCTCTCTCTTTCTCTCTTTCTTTCTTTCCTTCCTTTCTTTCGACAGTCTCGCTCAGGTGCCAGGCTGGAGTGCAGTGGCATAAGCTTGGCTCACTGCGACCTCTGCCTCCCAGGTTCAAGCAGTGCTCCTGCCTCAGCCTCCCAAGTAGCCGGGGGGACTGTATTTTTTAGTAGAGACGGGGTTTCACCATGTTGGCCAGGATGGTCTTGATCTCTTGACCTCGTGATCTGCCCGCCTCGGCCTCTCAAAGTGCTGGGATTACAGGTGTGAGCCATCTCGCCCAGCCTTCATACTCTCATTCTTGCCAATTTATCTTCTACTATGTTTGCACAATATTTATTCCTTTTCCTGTCTTCCACTCACAGGATGCTTTTTCTCCTAAGTGACTTACTTTAAGTTTGTTCTTATTGAATTTAATGAGTATTTATATTACCTTGACTCTAACTTAATCTCCTACTAGTTTTCAACACTGGGTCCCACTGAGTCTGTTACAGTTTCCTCACTGTCCATGTATATCACCTGTCAGAAGGCAAAGTCTGTCGTAGACCTCTAAAGTCTTTTCTAATTGGTTTTCCCAAGAGTGAGCACTTTTACCAAATCTGTATTACCCACCAGTCCTCAAACACTATTAGAAGAGAGTGGAGGGTTGAGAGGGGAGCCACATCAGTATTCCTCAGAAATTCTGTCAGAGTAGACCTAATCTTGTTTCTCTACCTGTCAGAGTGTTCTGTTATCTCAAGCTCACCTTCCCTGCTGTATCCCACAACTGTATGTATTTAGCAATTAGACTTTGATTAAAATGTTATCTATATCATTCCCTAAAGTGGGAGAAAGAAGGTAGAGGCAATTCACATTGATAAAATACCTGCAATGTGCAGGGACTCTGCTAGACACACTTTGTGTGTATTTTTTTTTTTTTTTTTTTTTTTTTGAGATAGAGTCACCCAGGCTGGAGTACAGTGGCGCGATCTTGGCTCACTGCAATCTCCATCTCCTGCGTTCAAGCGATGGCCCTGCCTCAGCCTCCCAAGGAGCTGGGACTACAGGAGCCTGCCACCACACCTGGCTAATTTTTATATTTTTAGTAGAAATGGGGTTTCATGATATTGGCCAGGCTGGTCTGGAACTCCTGACCTTGTGATCTGCCCACCTCAACCTCCCAAAATGCTAGAACTACAGGCGTGAACCACTGCGCTCGGCCAACACACTTTATATATTATCTCAGTATTTTAAACAACCCATAAGGTAGGCATTATAATCCTTTTATTTTGCAGATGAACTTTTTAATTTATTTTTTATTTTTGTGGGTACATTGTAGGTTTTATGGGTTACAGGAGATAGTTTGATACAGGCATGAAGTGCATAATAATAATATTGGCGTAAATGGGGTATCCATCATCTCAAGGATTTATCATTTATGTTACAAACAAATCCCATTATACTATTTTAGTTATTTTTAAATGTACAATTACATTATTTTTTTTACTATAGTCACTTTGTTGTGCTAGCAAATACTAGATCTTATTAATTCTTTCTATTTCTGTGTACCTATTAACCCTCCCCACCTCTCCCCACTACCCTTCCTAGCCTGTGGTAACCGTCCTTCTACTCTCCAGCTCCATGAGTTCAATTTAAAAAATTTTTAGCTACCACAAATAAGTGAGGGCATGCAAAGTTTGTCTTTCTGTGCCTGGTTTATTTAACTTAATGACCTTAAGTTTCATCCATGTTTTTACAAATGATAGGCTTTTATTCTTTTTTATGGCTAAATAGTGCTCCATTGTCTATATCTACACATACCACATTTTCTGTACCTATTAATTTTTTTTGTTTTTTATTATTTTTTTTTTTGAGACAGGATCACTCTGTCTGGAGTGCAGTGATATGATCACAGCTCACTGTAGCCTCAACCTCCCAGGCTCAACCTATCCTCTCATCTCAGCCTCTGAGTAGCTGGGACTGTAGGCACACACCACCATGCCTGGCTACTTTAATTTTCTGGAGAGACAGGGTCTCCCTATGTTGCCCAGCCTGGTTTCAAACTCCTAGACTCGAGAGATCCTTCCACCTCAGCTTCCCAAAATGCTGGTGTTACAGGCATTAACCACCATGCCCCAGCCTCTTTAGAGAAATATCTGTGTAGGTCTTTTATCTTTTTTTTTGAGACAGGATCTCACTCCATCACCCAGGCTGGAGTGCAGTGGCACAATCACAGTTCACCACAGCCTCAACATCCGGGCTGAAGTGATCCTCCTGCCTCATCTTCCCAGCAGCTGGGGTTGCAGGCATGTGCCACCATGCCCAGCTAATTAAAAAAAAATTTTTTTTTGTAGAGATGGGGTTTTGTCATGTTGCCCAGGCTGGTCTTGAACTCCTGGGCTCAAGCAATCCACCCACCTCAGCCTCCCAAAGTGCTGGGATTACAGGGATAAGACACCACACCCAGCCTTCCTTTTGCCTATTTTAAAAATAGGATTATTGACTGGGTGTACTGGCTCACACCTGTAATCCCAGCACTTTGGGAGGCCGAGGTG